GATCATGTGAATATGCCCTGGGGCCAAAAGTCCCTTCTGACATTGTTTAAACATAAAAGTAACTTATAAATACACTGTTATCACAATTTTGCTAGTCACAATAATCTTTATTTTTCAAATGGCAATATAACTCAATATAAGCCACTAAAGCAGGCATGAAGAACTCTAAAACACTGCCTTTCATTCATATCTGGAGATAACATTGAATAGACTATATGGAATATCTTAAACTTTGAATCAGGTCCATTTTTTTATAAAGTGGGTGGTCATTCAGAATCAGGTCTGACAAATAATAATTTTAAATATTCAACAGAAATGTTTCAGTCAAACCATACACAGATTAATTAATCGTAGAAATATCTCCTCCATCACCGAAATGCAATACAAAATAAATCACACATCAATTTCCATTTTAATCAGATATATTTCATGGGGGAAAATAACACATATTAGATCAGTGTGTGTGCAGTGTGTGTGGTGAAAAGAGTCGATATATACAGCAGTGGTGGCCGGCCCATAGGGGCGCTAGGGCGCCGCCCCACCTCTTCCCACATTCTAGATTGTGATTAAAAAATATTTGAATTGTTTTATTAAAAGAAAAATGTAAAAACATTTTTTTTTTAAATGAACAAGGCACTTATATAGTTGGTGTCAGTTAAATGTATAATCTACGATAAAATATCGATAAAAATGGTTTTACGATGTCTAAAGTTACTGATAAGCCACGTGTTTCCTGCTTGGGGCGCAGAAATCTTTGCCCATTGACTCTCGTTATAAGTGGTGCATGCGCAGTCCGCACCTCTTCAATGCAACAGATAAGAGCAGCTCGGGGCGCACCAAACTGCGCCCAAAGCAGCTGTTGACACCTCCAACAACTAGGGGGCAGCAGGAGCGCCAGAGTGAGTGATTGACGTTTGGATGAGAGGGTTAGACTTTGCGCATAAGATGTGGACCCCTGAATGTCGGACGTGTTTTGCTGGAGCATTTTGCAGCACCTCAGCGCCAATGTCGGCATCCTCATCTCCCACATTTTGTTGCGGCACTAATATTTAATGACTACTTTTACTCCCAATAATTTAATACCTAATTGTACTCATGTACCATTCTTCATGCAGTACTCTAACTTGAAATGTAGTACTTTTACATCATAGTATTATTATGTTTACTCAAGTAAAGAAACGTCCAAGGTGTTAGGGCTTCACAGATACATCTGTGTAACAAAAACTCATGAACCTTAGTACTTTTGGAGTCCTCCTTCACAACATCTCCAGAACACATTGTGCATGCTCAACACAAGAACTCTCAAACCAATGCTCACAGTCGTTTAATGAGCCCCATCTAGTCAGGCTTTCACAGAGCCAGTCGGCTATATCACAGACCATTAAATACCGTGTGTTGTCAGGAAATAGTCATTATAAAATAATAAAACCTTAATCAATAATGTATACGTCGGCTGTGTGTAGTATTTCGTTCAGGTTTCAGGCTGTGTGTTATTTAAAGCAGCTGGTGTTGAAGTCTCTCTCAGCCCACCCAGGCTGTCGTTCTGAACCCACAGACTACAACCTGCTTCACTTTGATATTACTTCCAGTCATTTCTTTGAAGCTAATGGCCTGTAATATAATTTACAGAGTTACCACTCAATTAATTTAGTTAGTTTTGAATTTAACCATATTTCAAACAATTTAAGCACGGCACCATGTGGGTCTGTTTCAAGTCTGGGTATATGTTGCATATATGTCATATAATGTGGTCTCTGCAGCTCACAGGCTTCAACTAGCTAAGGCTCTTTGAAAACAAGCCAGAGTGCTCCATTAAAGGTCACCTATCATGCAAAATGCACTTTTTGATGTCTGTTATACATCACTATGTGTCCCCGGTGTGTAAGGAGACTCACAAAGTGTCAGTAAATAAAACCCTCTCTCTTTTCCTCCTTACTCGTATCTCTAAAAACGGGGGAACCACGGAGCTGATCCAGATTTTTCTGCGGTCATGATGACATGACTAAAATGTGGGCTGGCTTCACGTTGAACTCCTGGCAACGTCCCCCCCACGTCCCCACCTATCATCCCCATATACAGTCGCTAGCTGAATCTCCCCCTCAGCTGTGTGTGTGTACGAGAGGGACTTAGAGTAAAGTTCCATCCATCCATCTTCTCCCGCTTATCCGTGGTCGGGTTGCGGGGGTAGCAGTTCCAGCAGAGAGCCCCAAACTTTCTTTTCCCTGGCCACATCAACCAGCTCTGACTGGGGGATCCCAAGGCGTTCCCAGGCCAGCGAAGAGATATAATCCCTCCACCTGGTCCTAGGTCTACCCCTTGGTCTCTTTCCAGCTGGACGTGCCTGGAACACCTCCCTAGGGAGGCGCCCAGGTGGCATCCTAACTAGGTGCCCGAACCACCTCAACTGGCTCCTTTCGACGCGAAGGAGGAGCGGCTCAACTCCGAGTCCCTCCCTGATGACCGAACTTCTCACCTTATCCCTAAGGGAGACACCAGCCACCCTGCGGAGAAAACCCATCTCGGCCGCTTGTATCCGCGATCTCGTTCTTTCGGTCATGACCCATCCTTCATGACCATAGGTGAGGGTAGGAACGAAAATGGCCCGGTAGACAGAGAGCTTTGCCTTCTGGCTCAGCTCCCTTTTCGTCACAACGGTGCGGTAAAGCGACTGCAGTACCGCTCCCGCTGCTCCGATTCTCCGGCCCATCTCACGCTCCATTGTCCCTCACTCGAGAACAAGACCCCGAGATACTTGAACTCCTTCACTTGGGGTAAGGAGTAAAGTTGTTATATATATATATATATATATATATATATATATATATATATAATACATATAATGGCACTGTTCTAGCAGTAAACACTTAATAAAGTAAAGTATGTCAAGCTATGTGCTGAATCAGAAACAATGTGAGACGTGTTCTGGATATAATATGGTCTATGTTTACATTAGCAAGCATTGCTAACACTCAGAGCTAACGCTGTACTGGAGAGAATATGTGTAAATATATAAAAGGTACTGTCCTTCTGGTAAACCAGAAAGCGTTTGAGCTCCATACTGTTTCAGAAATAATGATTGATGTGGTTTGGAACATAATATGGCGTTAATCACGGCAGCATTTAGCTGAGTTTCTGCTGGTAGACAGCCTTCTCTTCACAGAGCTCACTGGTTGCATGCGGAAGGGGCGTGGCCAGCAGCAGCTCGGGTACATTTAAAGGGCCAGACCCAGAATCAGCACTTTAGTAACAGGGCTGAAATAGAGGGGTATGAGGCATGCTACAATGGGTGATCTGTTTGGTATTTTGAGCAAACACTTGTATAGCTATGGCCCCATCATATATTGTTCAACATAGCATAATAGCTGACCTTTAAGGGTGCATTCACACCAGCCTTTTATAGTCCGGTTGAATCTAACCCTGGTGCGTTTAGCCGCTTGGTGCGGTTCATTTGGGTCAGTGTGAACACAATCCGAGACCTCTGAAGTGAACTAAACAACCGGACTCTGGCCCGCTAAAATAGGTGCTCTCGGAACGCTTGCTTGCGAACTCTGGAGTGGTTCATTGCGTGAACGCAGTCCGCACCAAAACACAGGAAGCATATTATTTACGTGTCACAAGAATGCGGATGTCTTCAAAATCTTTAGCGAAAGAGTCTTTCAAGACATCCGCGGTTGTTAATTTAAAGAGTGAAGCAGAATGAAGTGTTGAACAGTGTCGTGTAAAGTAAAAATGCTCCGTCAGCTACATAAAAGTAAGAACACCTGTCGTCGGTGAGACGCCCTCCTTACTGCAGAACGTCTCTCATTATATGCGTTATAATGTTTTTTAACGGACGTTGTCTGATTTTATAATCATATGCGCGGGCCGCTAGAGTCTGTTGATCTCCAGATTAACAGCAGCATGAGAATAACCTGCCGAAAGTGCCGATGCTCCATGGCGAAGGCTCCGGTAGAAATTGCCGGGATTTGCGTTTTTACCCCCTTAATGTCTGACCAATGGTTGAACAGCATTTACGTGCACATGACTTGTGTTTAAAGTTTACAGTCCGTTTGAGTTTTGCCCGTGTGAACGCAAACCGAACCTTCTGAAAAATGAAACAATGTAACAAACTGTGGTCTGGTGCGCACCAGAGAAGTGGACTATTAGGTGTGAATGCACCCTTAGATACTATCATTTAACTTTCCCCCGTGCCCCTTCTCAAAGGAAGTGATATCCTAAACCTTTATTGAGATTGGTTGTATCACGTTTTGGACAAGTCCATCTTGATGATGCCTTCACTGTGAGCTGCAATCCATAATGTCTCAGTACGCTAAACATATTGCTGTCATCTAATGGCAAACATGTATCCAATAACTCTACCCCTTTAGTGTTTCCTGTTAATATCACAGTGATGAAGCATGTTTGGAGATCATATTTAGACCAGGCATTGTAGATACATGAACAAAGTTGCTGTATGAACAAATAAAAAAATACTGGTAATAATCTGTTTCCAAAAGTAGGGGCTTAGCTTTATACACAACATCCTCCATTAGCACAGGTCTTTCAGATCTCAATACAAATATTCATGGTATATCAAATTGTCTAATAACCTCATGGTAAAGCTTATCCTGTGTGAATTACATACTTGTCTCAAGTACTTAGAAAATATATGAATAAAGGGAAATATATATTTTGATGGTATATATCACTCTGTTTGAAGATCACTGAGGCCTTTAGTTTCCACTTAGCTCCACATGACTTACACAGATAGTAGCCCCCCCCCCCATCACTAGTCCTGATGATGCTGCATGCCCCAGTCCCTCTCATGTCTCTAACACTGGTTCCTCTCTTCTGTGTCTCTCTCCTCCCTTCATACCTTTTTGCATGCGATGTGTCTGCTGTGACTGAACAAGGGTCTAATGCCACGAGCAGGGGAACAGGTAAGTTTAGGACCATGTGACATTAGAAGGATGAAGTAAAGCATCTAGCTACTCTGCATCAGTCAAAGACCAAATTAACAGGCTGCTTTTGCTGAGACATTGCTAAAATGTGTCTTGCTGGTGGGTGTACGTGAAGAGCTGTGTGAACAGGTAGCATGTGAGTTATATCAGGGGCTCAGCTCTGTATTTTCAACCAGCATGAAGGTCCCTTTCTGTTAATGCTTTCCCACCCTGGTTGGATTACCTGAACTCTTCACACCATGAAATACAAGAGTAACGATTTGTCACATAAGAGTCTGAAAGTTTACATTTAATACTCCCCAAAGAAAGTGGAGAAAGGTTTATTGACTTCACAGCAGAGTACATGAGGAGATTCTCAAAGAGTACTTAAAACCAATAGAGTTATATATTGAGATAAATAAATGTTGTTACTGGTGCGTTTCACCATTATTACATCTCAGCTCTCTGTCTAAGTTAATAAATATAAGCAGCCAGCTGGAAGAGAAAAGATTGATATTGGCCTCAAGATGGAAATGACACATAAGACACATTTTACAGTAGGATGCCATATCTCCCGCTTGACTTCAGGAATTGCAAAAGTGTGTCAACAGAGACGGCCGACATGCAGTAAATCTGTCAATGTCAGCAACAAAGGAACATAAAAGTCTAAATGATCATTTTATTCACATCAATGTAATGAGCTCCATCCATGAAGAGTATTTCATGTCTGCTATGTTTTTGATCATTTTGAGTTTAGCAATGAACATGAACTAAGATATGGAACTTATTTGAAGTCAGATACACATCTGCTAGCAAGTAAATCACTTTAAGTGCTAAGGAGCAAATATCTGTTTTGGTTTGTTCTTCTGCACGCATAGATGGACGTACATGATGCTAACCAATGGTTAAACACTACTCCACTGATCAACAGGTCAGGACATGACACATGCAGCAATCAACAAAGTATAAGGGAGGAAGAGACAGCTGATAAACACGTGTAAAGCCTTAGAGATGGGCCTGACACGTTCACACATGTGTGTGTCAGAAACACTGACACATTAAGTACAATACAACTGTTTAGGGTATCTTTAGCACTAGCTAAACATGCTCTCTGCCAATGTTTCAACATGTTGAGCAATTTGTTTTTAGCAGCACCTATAAAGGTTTTTCTTTCAAACAATGACATGAACACCCCTCAACAGGACGGTAATGGTGGTCTGTGTCTGCTGGTAATAAAGAGGCTTCATGTCTGCCATGGCAGGATGATGTGTCCTCACTTTGTTTGACTGCCCCCAAGTGTGAAAACAAACAAACCATTTTGAATGCACCTTTAATAAGGTGTCTCGCGTTTCACCTCAACATGTGCTGAATGCGTTTCAACCCTCTTCCAAACGGGCTCTGCACAGTTGTTAAAGTAATCATAAGGTCTACCAATCAACTGTATACAAGCCAGAAACATCAGATTTCTTCCCATCAAAAACTTGATTTGTATGTGCAGCACTGAGTGTGCAACCAAAAGGGAAACGCTCAGCACATTCTTGACTGTCATGTCACTACGACAAGTGTGCTTATAAACCAAGCACCTTCAATATTGTTGGTGAGGCAAAATAAAAAGGAGTTATGGTCTCGGCCTGAGAGAACACAAATAGTAACCTGACAAGCAGACAATGGAGTGGTGGCTTTTTGGATAGCTTTGCAGACCCACAGCCAAAATCATCTATTGGTTTCCTTTTTTTACCTCGGCAGGGAACTATTTGTAACGATCAGGTCCTATTTGTGGTTAGTCTCTCGAGTAGTGGCTGGGGCCGAGAGGGTGAAGACATATTATATATTATACACAGCAGACATGTCTGTAAATCATCTAGAGGAAGCATCTTCCCCAGGAAAGGAAGAGGAGTGGAACAGGGACAAAGAGAATAAGGAAAAACAAGATTTCCAGAACATTGCAAACCAATCTGTCATTTGTCTGCCTTCCTGGGTTCTGTGGGAAGGCGTTAGAGGCCAGAGACTGGCAGAACATACAAAGACAGAAAGGATGGTTTTGCAAAAGAACCACAGCAGTGAACACTCCACTCGATAGGCTAGAGGAAATGTAATTTACAATGAAATGAGATCCACAGAGTTTGGTCTGCTCTTCATTCCACAGGATATGCATGGTTTTGTGCGTGTGTATTTGCTCCGAGAGGGGCATGGTTTGAGTTGTGATTATAACTTTGCCTTGTTACCTTGACCTTTTGCAACCAAAGTAATACAATCTCTTCACACGTATATCTGTAGATCTGCACTTGTCTAATCTACTAAAACCAAGATGTACCCTCAGATGATATGATCCCTCTTTTTCCATCATTACTTTTGGCTTTTTTGCCAGCTCCTGTTGTGAGCACCTAAATGTTGAGTACCCCAACGTTTTATGTTAGAAATGTATAGTAGGGATATTTGAGGATGCTGAGTCCATTTCTGACATTTTCAGGATCAAAAATGTCAGGTTTAACCAGAGAATGTCCATATTTGTACTCCCAGTGGACTGAATTTGATAAATGTTTCGGTCTATTTTGAAGGTTTAGGGGTTAAATGGTGACGCAACTAAACTTCTAGCACTTCCTATCTCCCACGATCATGCAAATCAATTTAACTGTCAAACGTTTCAGTCTGACCAGAGCTTTACATATGCATGTCCACCACCTTTGGCTGAATGTTGGTACATTGAACAGAAGCTCAAGAACCTCTACTATAGCTATTCACCTTTAAATGACTGCACCGATATGTTGAATTTAGCTGATAATATATGTTTTTCTTCCTCTCTTTCTATCTGTCTATAGGGAGCACCGGGGGAGCCAGGTCTTTCCATCATTGGACCGAGAGGACCTCCTGTAAGTGTCTTCACCTCTCCCTACATAATAAAGCTCTTATCTTCAATCAGAGCTGCCGGCCTGCATGCTAAGCTTTTTTATTAGCTACCATTTCAGTAGACCTCTGCTTAACACATCGTGTTCTTAAACAACAGACTTCTCGCTTACGTTGATTAAAGTAGACGTTTGGAGGGACATGCTCTTTCCAGGCTCGTGGGGTACTGGCTCAAGTTTATGTTAGCTGAGCCAAGCATGAGAATGCACCACAAACGATAGAATAATGATATATAATTACAGACTGCGTGGATGCAGCAGCATTGTTCAAGGTACTGTGATTTGGCCTTACTTTGGATCATTAGTCATGCTTGCTTTATCAGGGAAGAAAGCAAGACATGTGATCCTGCTCCAACTGGGGTCAATGTAAGTTATCCAGACACTAGGCCTTAGTAGATTATATTGACATGACCCACATTCTCTTTATATGAGGCCCATTACATACATTTTTCAGGTGAACAATGTGGCCTGAAAAGTAGAATAATATGCCTTGAAAAAAAAGATGGCCCAAGGGTCCAGCCAACTTAAGTGGAACACACATCTGCTCTTCTAATTGATGGTTCCTAGAATCCATAGCTGTGTGCCCACTCCTCCATGATGGTAATAGGCGTCTATAATGAATAACAGGCTGTGGGGGAAGTTCTCTGCAGGCGGAGCCAAGTCCTGAAGCTAGAGGGCCAGTCAGTCAGAAACACTTAGAAGCTGGTCTCCACAGCAGGTGAGACTGACACGAGAGACTCCAGACCTGACCTTAGTTGGAACAAGGGACTCAATTCAAGAGAGAAGTGAAGGGAAATGAGAGGGAGTGACAGCTGAGGCCGGCCTTAGTGCCTTTACTTCTTCTCCTCTCTGTCATGTCAGCGGGTTAGATGATCAGTGGGGAGATGCTTTCCAACCTACAGCTGGACTATGGGCTGCAAAGTCGTTTTGTAGTGAAATGCAATTGATGCATCATAGCAAATGCACAATCACTTCTTAAATGCATTGGAGGACAAAATATTTTAAAGAAAATATTGTCCGTGTTTCCATGTTTGGACAACATAACTTAAGGTCTAATGGTCTTCTTCTAAAAACAGAAACCAACTCAGGAGGTACCTCAAATATTCTTTCAGGAGGATAACTCTGCATTCTTGCTCAATATTTTAGAGCTTTCAGCAGCACATCACACACTTCATCAGGTGATGCATCGTCGGATTAAGGTTGAGTGTAAAAGGTCATACTAGATCTTTGGAAAAGTACTTTGACAAAAATAGTACCTAAACCACAGGGTGGTTGGAGCTTGCTCACAAGACTTTAAAACGTTTCTGTTTCTTTGTCAAATTATAAAATCTTGGATGCAAATCCTAAACATAATGCTCCCCATTCAAAGCTCTATCTAACCAACTACATCTGTGTCATTAGTCACTTGCACCTCTTGTCATTGTCTTACAGCTTTATTTTCTCATCATTCCTTCTCTTCAGGATAATATATGTCTTGTTATTTTTGAAAGGGCAGGTTATCAAAGCTATGCTGATCAAAGCATGCTGGCTAATTGAAGTGGACAGTCACTCGTGACGTCAGACTTTCAGAAGAAAAACAAACACATGACTGACTTTCTGTTTCTCTTCAGGGACAACCTGGAACAAGAGGATTTCCAGGATTTCCAGTAAGTCATACCATCTTCAGTCAGGCTGACACTTTTATAAATTAAACACATTGATAATTTGTGTCAAATATGGACATTTCTGATATCATTGATTGGGACGTGATCCAGCGATCCTTCGGTTCCAAGTCCCTACAGACTGAGCCTCTGCCACAACTAGCATAAGCTATACACGTAGCTTCCATCCAGCAGCTGTAGCACTAAGGGCTGCTGAACTGCTCTCAAGTCAGTTGGGGGGTGAAGAGAACTTTACTTTGTTCCACCAACTTTCAGCTGATATTTCTGAGTCCTGTGCAAGGCCTCTGCTGGGCGATGATGTATAGAATACCCTGAATCAGGACTAATGCTAACCAAATGTCACTTTACTGCCAACATTATTTATGAATCATTACTCACTCTACCTCTGCACTTTACCTTTATTGCTATGTATTTAGCACTTAAACTGTTTTCTAACTAATGTATAATGGGTCCAGCTGTTGGTGCAGTCATTTGTGATGAACTCTAACATTTGCCCCTCTTCTTTTATCCCAGGGTCCAATTGGGTTGGATGGCAAGCCTGTGAGTTTTCCGCAGTTCCTGTCATAAAGTGAAATAACTGAGTAATTGAGTGTTTCTTTAGAAGCAATAACCAATCATAGGGTCACGATAATGAGCATAATTAGGATAATAATAATGATGGTCATTACCGTAATAAAATCAAGTGTCATTAGTGGTATTATAGGGCGGGGTTAAACATGCTATGGATATCTAAGAACTACAAGAAAGTTAGTTTGCATTGGTTCCGTCACTCCATCACCTGCCCTGACCGCTTTAATGTTCACACAGGGACAGAACGGACCGAAGGGAGACATGGTAAGCATTCCTTACATTTTTCAACATCACAGTTTCAATATAATACCATTACTACCAGTCAAGCACTCATTTGAGCCAAGAACACCCTGATCATAGATTTACGGGCATGTTGAATGACATGTTCACACATTTATAACATTTAAAACACTTGTTTTGCTGCTCAGTTTAACTTTAGCTTTGTGTTCATTTTGAGCCCACGCAGTTATAAGACAAACAGAGTGGTGCCTGATTTATGCACACAGTGATGGGCTAACAGTGGACGGTCACATGGGAGCTGTTAGCAAACTGTGGCTTAAATCAGTGTTAGTAGGCACAAGTCTAACTACCTGGAATGGGCACTAAGGGATTGTTCTGTGTTTTTACTGGGACACATGTAATGCCCCCTTCACTAATAACAGTCTATATCCCTAAAGGTCATATTATGAGCATCATGTTGCTGGTGAGACAGGAATAGGTTTTTTAAGTCATTCAGTTTAGATCGATGTTGGAAAGACGTCTTACTCTGGCTGGCTCTCAGCTATTACAGAGATAAAGCAAGTGTGTGTAAGATAAGATAAGATAGGATAAGATAGGATAGGATAAGATAGGATAAGATAGGATAGGATAGGATAGGATAAGATAGGATAGGATAAGATAGGATAGGATAGGATAAGGATAGGATAGGATAAGATAGGATAGGATAAGATAGGATAGGATAGGATAGATAGGATAGGATAAGATAGGATAAGATAGGATAGGATAAGATAGGATAAGATAGGATAGGATAGGATAAGATAGGATAGGATAAGATAGGATAGGATAGGATAGGATAGGATAAGATAAGATAGGATAAGATAGGATAGGATAAGATAGGATAGGATAGGATAGGATAGGATAGGATAGGATAGGATAGGATAGGATAGGATAGGATAGGATAGGATAGGATAGGATAGGATAGGATAGGATAGGATAGGATAGGATAGGATAGGATAGGATAGGATAGGATAGGATAGGATAGGATAGGATAGGATAGGATAGGATAGGATAGGATAGGATAGGATAGGATAGGATAGGATAGGATAGGATAGGATAGGATAGGATAGGATAGGATAGGATAGGATAGGATAGGATAGGATAGGATAGGATAGGATAGGATAGGATAAGGATAGGATAGGATAGGATAGGATAAGATAGGATAGGATAGGATAGGATAAGATAGGATAGGATAATACTTTATTGATCCCAATTTGGGAAATGTTTGTGTTGCAGCAGCATAAAAATACGTGGCATTGTACAATAACAATGATTGTATGAGCTTCCACGGGGTGTTATAGGTAGGGGTGCACCGAATGGGAAATTCTTGGCCGAAACCGATACCGAAAATAGGAAACAGTTGGCCGAAAACCGAATGCCGAAAGGCCGAAAATGATTAATAGAAATATATATATATAATGTATACATTTTTTACCAATGTTGTTCAATTACCTGATTATGGAAATAGACATGATTATGGCAAAACTTAACTTAAATAATAATCACTATTATGGGTCCATAAAACATTTATTCAGCACTTTTGAATGCATACAGTACATTTATTTTCTCTGTAGGATAACTACAACAAAGTGCATTCAGAACAAAGCCAAGGGGCTTTAAAACTGCATAAACATCTAGGCCAGTAGGCCTACAACAAAATAGTGTAAATAAAGACTGTAACAGCCAGGCCTTCAACAACAACAAATGCACCTATAAGTGCATGCATACAAATGTGCAAACTGGATAGATCCACATGAATGTAACTATAGTATTTACAAATGAAATTACAATTGAATTTCAAGAATCTGTAAATAAGGCCTCATAAACAAAGTAGTAAACATTGTATAAAGATACATAAAGTGAAAACTGGATACAAAATCCACAATCAATTACAAATTAAATTACAATTTCAAGAATCTGCAAATCTGCTGTCATTTCCCCCCAATGATAACCTGAGATGGTGAATTATAACTCACAATGAAAATTGTTTAGGAAAGTGGGTATAGAGTAGACATGTAGAACTAGATAAACGTATGATAAGCCAGCCTTGTCTACTTATTAAGGAAAAGTGGGAGGTTCTTTTTAATGAACAGTAGCTTCTCTGCTTTATCAGCCATAAGTCTGTTCCTCTTCTCATCAAGCACATGAGAGGCAGCGCTGAACAGTCTCTCGCTGTCAGTGCTTGTGCATGGAGCACTCAAATACTTGCGTGCCACCTTGGCCAGGTCAGGAAAGCGGTGAAAGCGGTGTGCGCTGGTGATTTCATCATACTCCGCATATTTGTCCGGGTGTTTAGATTTCAAGTGGTGGAGTAATCCCGAAGTGCTGAAAGTCTTTGCAGTTACATCCCCTCGAGAAATGTCAGCTGAACACGTTTTGCAAATCGCAATCCGCGCCTCTTTCTCTGATATTGTGAAGGATCTCCAAGCGGCAGACATGTTGGCTGTGAGCTAGCCGTGAGCATGGTCGCCGCGTCTTTATTACGTCATCACAACAACACGTTAGGTTACCAACGTAAGCCTGTTCTGACATTCGGTGATATTTTTTCGGTGCTAAAACCGGTGCCGAAAGCCGAAAGGGCCTTTTTAACCATTTTCGGCCGATAATTTTCGGTGGCCGAATATTCGGTGCATCCCTAGTTATAGGGTTTATGTTCAGGTTCAGGTTCAGTGCAGGAAGTCTGTCCTATTAAAGTTGAAAATGAATATGTGGAGGTTGGAGTTTGTGTTCTATCTTAACTTAACCACATTCCTGAGCCATCTAACCTTAATGATGGAGTGTATTTGCCATAACTGTGCTCCTAACCATACCAAAGATAGCATGTGCAGGTATGGTAAAGCAAAATAAGAGAAAACAGTAATGTGTGTCCTCTCTCCAACTGTTGGAGTCCATCTGGACATGTGACCCACCCATTTAGATCATTCTCTGGAATAATGTTTGGCTTTAATTTAGATTTGCAGTATGAAACAGCTCTGTTGTACTTCACTGACGGTGTGGTGTAGGTCATTTCAGTGTTGTCCCGCTGATGCTAACACTCTGGCTTTTATCATGCCTTCTGCTCATTGCAGTAGCTTCTCCAAAGCCTCTGTTTGAACACCATTACTCTCGCTCAGACAGGGTTTTTTTTTTTTTAAGCAAGCAGTAGCGTGACGTGGGGAGAAAATTAGGGGAAGCCAATAATACGTCCTTTCTTTTGGGTCGGGGGTGTGGTGGTCAATGTGATAACGTAATCAGATGAGTGATTACAGCACCCGGTATCATTTTACACACATTTGTATCATACAGATGCAGGACTTGCACACGCCTGTTATCTAACCGACAGGTCCGCATGCACTCTCCAGCCCAAACTCTAATAAGCATTCATTCACAAACTAAATCAGGAGACCTTTAACGTTTTACGTCCGATTCGCTCCTTTGTTCCTCGCTGTACACAGTTCCAGTTTGGGCATCGGCCTGTCATCAGATTTTATTTTTAGTTGCTGCTGTAGCGGAAGTTTAATACAATTATTTTTGATTAAATACTTCACATCTCCACCCTCCATAATTGCACTTGCTTGCTACTTTCTAACGGCGGTGAGAGTGGTGCAGTGGCGCTATCTATCTTCTATCGATTAGATTTATGATTCGAAAATAATAAAAGTAGGGTAGACATGTGGATAGTATCCGGCTGAACAAAACGTGCATTTATCAAACAGGTTCGTTTTCCACTGACCTTATTTCGAGCTATTTTCCAAAATCTTATGTAGAAATCCCATTGATTTTTTGTCGAGGGAAACCGAGCGCATCTTACTTCCGGGTTTTAGGAGGCGTCACTGCCACACTAAGTTGATGCGATTTGATTGGATTGTGGGGCAAGGGAAGCCAGCCGCCTCTGGCTTCCCTTGGCATGGCCCTGACTAATCACAGGTTGGCAGGGGCATGACGTTATCCTTGTCAACGGTCAATCCCTCCATTTTTTTTCACCAAGGGAAGCCAATTTCGTCTGGCCTACTCTCGCAACAGAGAGTGCAATCTACTGTTTCACCATAACATCTAGAGGGGCGCTGTTTCACTCTTTGTAAAACACTCAATGAGAATGGGGGAGAGACGGGCCGGCAGCAACACACAGCAAATAATTTCCGAAACTAAACAAAGTGGTTTTATTTATTTATTAACATTATAACTACAATCCAAAAAAACAAGGGAAGCCTGGCTTCCTTTGGTCTCCAGGAGAAAACGCCACTGGAAGCAGGGGGACAGCTCCAGGGAACTCAATGCCAGGACAAACGACAACATTTCCAGGAGGCCAAGTGGGGTTGGATACTGTTGAAAAAATGTTTAATGTTGATTAATGAGCCCATAATGGGCTCCTGTTTCTCAGTCTCCTTCCTGACGAGTATTAAAAAGGGCTTTGAGGGCTTGCCTGCTAAATGTATAGAGATGCTGTTGCCTTCAGTGGCTCTGGAGCTTAGGGCCATGGGGTCCCCAGCATGGGGGGCACTGGATGTGTTCTGCCGGCCCTCTGCCTGGGTTCATTAATCACCCAGACGCTGGGCTCTGACAGCTACTTACAACCCGGGGCACACCCAAGGGCCTGCTGGGAAGTCAAACTCAGTGCCTTCGCCCGTAACAAGTAATTGGAATAGACTACTGAACAGCTTGTTCAGCAGACTGATTGATGCCTCGACATATTTACTCATTTCATTCTTGTTCGTTGGAGGGATTTGTGGTCAGTCATGTATGTTTTCTTGTGAAGCTGAAGATCTACGCTTTAATCACATGAAAGACTGAGTGTGTTGCTCTTGTCTTGCAGGGTCAGCGTGGCGTTAAAGGACTCCAAGTAAGTTTCTGAAGTCTGGTATCAGTTCTGACATATAAGCTGCTAATCTTTGCAGCTAACTGCTAAACCTCTCACTAATCTCACTCACCTGTGTTGTTTCTGTTTCTAGGGGGAGCCAGGACTCAAGGGGCAAAAGGTGAGGCATGGTTTGCAGGAGTTCAAAAAGTATTCAGAATATTTACTGATTGTGAAAGAGTTACTGCAGCAAATCAGCAGTGCACTTCTGTAAGGTTGGGAGACTCAAGAGAGAAGGTTACAACAAGTCTAAAGAAGCAGAAGATATCCTAACTGTCAGAGCCTAGTTTTGGAAAAGTGACCAAACCCTACACTTATCATAGAGGAGAAGATGTGTTTTGTGTTAAACCTCTTTCAAAGCTATTGCTTTAACTCTAAAACGCCTTTCTGATATAAACGTGTACTCTTCAAAGGGAAGTCCTTTGTCTCCTCTGATTGACCTCTTTCTGTTCTTTCCAGGGTGTATGTGGAGACTACACACACCGGGTATGAAAACATACACACATACATGTTTTACACATTCATTGTTTCACAGAAAAGTGTTTATGTTAAAGATGAGATATGATGTTTGTTTGCCTATACTACAATATACAGTATATGTTTAAATGATGACGCAAAGTGAACCTGTGTTGTTGTCCATCCTACAGCGAGTAACACACCTCTCTCACAGGTCAGCATGTGTACGGTCATAATGTTGGAGCAGGATAGGAAAGTGAAGTTGGAAGAGGAGAGCAAGTCCTCCAGAAGCCGGACAGACTAGTAGCAGTGATGGGGAGCACATGCTGAGCTCAGCACTTCTTTGACAGGGTCTCTGGGGTTTGGCTAGTTGAGAGAAAACAAGGCAATTACCGGCAGCCTGCTGCAGCGCTGTGTGATAAGAGCCTGTGTGTGGTGCCAAGAATAAGAGTCTCCTGTGTAAAGGGGGATTTCTCAGATAGCAAAGTCCATTTCCAGCGTAATTAAACCTTTCAGTTATAAACTGCTCCTGCTAACATGATCAAAGATGTTTGCTTGGCATGCCTTGACTTTTGCTACCTTGAAGTAAAAACAGTTGTATGTGTTGCGATATACATCTCTGAGCAGTGAATTATTCAGCCTTTATAAGTCTAAGAATGGGGAGCTCAGTGGAAGAAGAGAGTATTTTGGGTTTGATTGCTCTGGCATGAAAGGAACCCGGCCCCCACTTCTAACAAGCTGTTTGTATGTCATTCAAGTGTCAGAACCCCCTGCAGCGGGCTGTATAGGTGGTCCATTCCAAGTGTCTGCTCACACTTCAGGCTTCAATCCTGTAGTGAGACCCTATGGAGGGGGGGGGGGGTGGATACTGTAAGGGACCGCATAGTGTTCAGTGTTTGGAAAGTTTTAGGACAGAGCCGGCAAGATCAGCACATGTTTCTTTTGTGGCAGTGTAAAATAATGTTGAAATAAAGTCATTTAATTACATTATGAACGTAATATACTTATTTGCCCTCTTTTCTCAGAGTACAAATATTGATATCAATCTCACGTCTGTGCGAGTACAAAACTGCATTCAAGATATGGTTGGACTTGAAGTGGTGATAGTAAGATAGACTGGCCTGAAAAGAGAAGCAGCAGATATGAAGCTGACTGCTGAACCTGTTCTTTGGTTCTTATACACAGAGCCAGGTTAGCCTCGTCCAGCATCTACCTGAAACACTCAAGCAGAGTATTCATTCATTTGAGCTGTCCTTTAAACTGAAAACTTCTCCAATTCTTCCTGAGACATGACTCACTGTGTGTGTGGTTGGATGGCTCTGTGCCATGTGACCTGCCCTGACTGAGATACTGTGTTCAGGGCCTGTTTGTGCAGGAGCTGCCTCTGAAAACCCTGGCTGCCTTGCGCTCCACTCAGGCTCTGATGTTGAAGGTTTGTGGGTGCCATCAACACCCAGATAGATAACCCTCAGCAGGGGTGTCACCAAGTTGTGCCGCAAAGAGAGCCAGCGCCCTAGAGCCAAGGCCCCCCCCCTCCCACCCTGCTCTCCACCCAAAGGGAGACCAAATATCAATGAGGGTGCTACTGATTTTGTTTAACTGTCATTCAAAAAAATTATATTTGTAATATGCCCGTGAAGCATAGGGATACTAATAATAAAGAAATATGTTTTCCATGTTTGTGTAGATGTATGACAAACATAAATGCACATGGTCTGTATGGAAAATAAAGGTGAAAGTTACATTTGAATTCAATTCCATGTTCGTAATGGTAATGGAATGCCAGTTACATTTATGTTGCTTTGTTATTATCACCCAAAACATTCTGATACAGAGTTAAAAATACAGACCAACACCAACAATGAAAATGAGCATTGACAGATGGTCCATGACACTCAGGATGGTAACAGCCCTTTGTGTCCACCTAGATCATAATACATTACAACTATTTTCACTATTTGAAGTCAGGAAATAAAAAGGCTTAGGAGTTTACACAAAACATGTATTTTGTAAAGGACTCTTACAATTATTTGAATTTTCACACACTCAACAAATTAATCTAATTATAAAAAACACAGTTGGACAAAATCATTGAAATATCAATGTAGGATATCACCCTCTTATTGGCAGCTGTTGACTTCTTAACATTGAACCCGGTGTGGTGGAGATCTGGAATGGTGAGGGACAAAGCAGCACACTTGCCTACTTGCTACATTTATCCCCTACTTATTTGTACTAATAACATTCTGTATATATTTCCATTTAATTGGTACTCTTCTTATTTTTGGCCTTACTCTAATATACTGGAAAATAGTTTGACAGACCACACAATATAAAGAAGTATGTTCCAAAATAATGCTGGGTTAACCATGTAATAATATGGAATAGTCCTGAATACTTCTTTTGTGGTTAAGGTATTGGCTAAAGGTAGTCTTCCTTTAAAGATTCTGCATAATAAAACAATTTGGAAATATGTACACTGTAAAAAGTAGGCAAGTTGCATGCAGCTGGTTCTATTTTGTGTCAGCGGGGAAATGTAGCGATCATACCTGTACTGTCCTGTCCTAAACGTGTATCTGACCATGCTGGTCGTCTCAACAGAAGCGGCGTATTGTACAGCCCTGTGTGGGACAGTTGGCCACAGTAAGTCTGGATGTGTCTCTGTACTGCTGTCCTCTCTTTGTGGCTCCGCTGCGCCCACCTCTGCTCCGCTGCACTCTGAGGGCCTGGCCACGGTGAAGGGGACATTGATGCACATTATCCTGAGTTGGGGATGCTTAATGATTTGCAACCATCACTCTGTCAGTACCTCAGAGATTAGAAACATAAAGAAGCATCCCAGTGTATCAACCCATCCCCTTTGCCCCCCCAGGCCCATAGTTTGCTGTGCCGGTGCCTTTTGTCGTTTCTTTCTTCTACCAGGTTTCCTTTTGTTTTATCCTTTGCCCTTCCATTTACTTGCTTTCCACTCTGATGTTCTATTTCTCTTTTTCCTCCATATCCCTCTCCCTTCTTCTTCATTCTCCTTTCCTTTCTCTCTCCTCCTGGTGACCTTTGCCCTGTGACCTTTTTTCGGCAGATGTTGCCCATCAGCGTGCGCAACATGCCCTCAATAAGCCCTCTAATCCTAAAACGCCTGAAGGTACAATTCTCTCTGCCCCTTACATGCCCCCTCTCCGCCCGCCCTGTGGATGCCACCCGCCATCATCCATCGCAACCCCCCCCTCCTCCGTCGTCATGCTGTAATTAACCTCCTCTGGCTGCTACTGCTTCATAATGTTTAGTCTTATTCAAGGTTCTGTCAAAGATGCTTGACCAGAAATCAAACAAAAATGCTGTTGCTGCCCTGGTTTTACAAATTGTTATATTTTATTTACAGCTTTTTCCAATGTTAAATACAAATGATTCTGGTTAAAACTATTCAGTGTGGTTTTAAGTGGAGTTAGCCAATGGCAAAATACAATAACAGAAAAGTACCCTTACTTTTTGCCAAATGTCTTCCTGTATGGCAATGAATGTTGGCAATGAATTGAAATGGTAATAACCAATTAGAAATGAAAAGACACAGAATATATCTCTACATTTCCCAGAAATAAAAATAAGCAACCTAAATATTTTGTAAGGTGTAAATAATAAAACATATTGTTTTTCTTTGGATACAATAAAGTATATCATAAGTTATGACATTACAATACAAGATCATACTGTGTGTGAAGGAGCCTTATTTGGTACTCTGGCACAGGTTGGCCCCTTGTTAGGACATGATATAGTCATATATTGAAAAAAAAGATTTTCTGATACCGTATAAAGTTCATATAGACTCCCTATAGTAAATCAGATACAAGCCAGTCACTGAAGAGAATAGAGTTATGGCTGAATTTGATGTTCTTTCCTGTGATTAAATTGTGCGGAACAGCACATTTTATGATCAGCTATTGGCAGCTGGGACCTGCCCATAACAGTGTGTGAAATCCTGAGAGCAGCCTAACATGTCCATGACAGACATCAAATCATGACAGTTTTCTGCAGGAATGATCAAATATGGATGTTATGCTTATGGATATGTTCTCCATTATCTGAGAATAGAGGCTTGGCAGCACTCTGGTTCTGAGCTACTGTACATGTGGGTTCTCCTACCATAACACAGTGATTGCTGAGTGACTGAAGTGAGGCCAGCGCTTTGTGTAAGGAACTTCTCTAAATTGAACCACATGTGCAAATAAATCGTGTACTGTGGCAAAATGGATCTATACATGCCATGCAGACCTGTTGCCCTCTATGATAATGCGTATTTCCATATGTGTACAGTATATTATCTGTAAAATATTGACCTGTAGCGATCAACAAATTGATTTTATGAGGTGAAAAAATCAGCGGTGGAAATTATTTTCCTTTTAACCCCCCAAAAACATATCTAATCTTGGAAAAGCACCTTTGACATTACTGGGGGGAAATCTGCAATCGTGTAACATTGATTGTATTAGGCTGGTCAAGAAGAAAGAGAATCACATCAATGTCATGGATTATATTTCCCATTATATTGCTCTACAAACAAAGGTAGTTCTAGAGAAGAACACTCTCAATGCGCTTACTAGATTTATTACTGGAACGTGGTTGAACTTGCTCAGGTGTCACCAAGTAACTGAGTGACACACTTTGATAACATGTCAACTCCGGCAGTGGCTCAGTCAGGGGCTTGGACTGGGAGCCGTAGGGTCGCTGGTTCAAGTCCCCGACCAGACCTAAAGATAGAGTGTGGACTGGTACTTGGAGAGGTCCCAGTTCACCTCCTGGGCCCTGTTGTGGTGCCCTTGAGCAAGGCACCGTACAACCCCCTCATTGCTCCCTGGACGTTGTACAATAGTTGCCCAATACTAAGACAAGGGCATTCAATGTCTTTTCACTAATGCAGATTCTGTTACGAATAAGAGAAATGAACTGGTAGCAAACATTGATAAATATGACCCAGATATTATAGCTATTAGTGAAGCACTTCCAAAAAACCCACAAGTACCAATCCAGTTATGTGAATTGAACATCAGTGGATATGACATTTTCAGCAATCTAGATGAGGGTAGAAGAGGTGTCTGTATCTACAAGAAATCCTACCTCAGAGCAGTACCTAAGAACTTGAAGGGCTGTACATCTACAGAATCGGTGTGGTGTGAAATACAACTCCGCAATACGGGCCGTCTTCTGGTTGGATGTGTCTACCGGTCACCAAACTGTCAAGATATTGGCAACTCTGAAACTTAACTATCCTGAAATTGGTTGGCAACCCATACGGGCACCAGAGAGTGAAAACCACCCTGCATCCATGTTCCTTGAATGCTTGAGAGACTGCTACGTATTTCAACATGTAACAAAACCAGCTCATGCAAGAGGAAACCAAACCCCACACGTGCTTGACCTAATTATCACAAATGAGGAGGGAATGGTTAAGGATCTAAGCCATGAAGCACCACTAGGAAAAATCACCATGACTGCCTGTCTTTCAAATTGCTATGCTACCATGAGATATGCGATAATCCAAACCGCAAGTTCATCCTTGATAAAGGAAATTATGAAGGCCTGAAACAGGAAATGATTGGGACAGACTGGGCACAGACCTTTGAAAACAAGTCAGCTTCAGCGCAGTGGGAGGCCATGGAAGAAAACATCCTAACAAGTTGCAAGAGGCACATCCCTATGTCATCGGGAAAAAGTAAGAAAAATCGCTCTACTCCGGAATGGATAAATGATAGAATCAAACATCAAATCAAATCAAAAAGTGCAGCTTACATCTTACAAAGGTTATCTGGTACAGAGAGCGACCGTTGTTCCTATGCAAAAATGTGCAACCAAGTTAAATGGGAGTTTCGGAAAGCTAAAAGAGAGCATGAAAGAAAAATTGCAAAGGAAGCCAAAGAGAATCCAAAAGCTTTTTATAAATATGCCAGAAGCAAGCTAAAAGTCAATGCCACAGTCGGAGATCTGAAAAAGGCTAATGGCAGCCTGGCTCAAAATGACAAGGACAAAGCCAATACACTAAATTCCTTCTTTGCTAGTGTGTTCACAAAGGAAGATACCTCATCAATACCAGACTTCCAGGACAGACCATTTAATACTACACTAAATAAATTGGACTTCACATCTAAGGACATCCATAAAAAACTATCGAACTTAGATGCCTCAAAAGCATCAGGACCGGATGGCATCTATCCCAGGATTCTCAAAGAACTGTGTGACGAACTAGATAAACCCTTACTTACTATATTTAAAAAATCGCTTGATGAAGGTGTGGTACCACAGCCTTGGAAGGATGGTCATGTAACTCCTATATTCAAAAAAGGTGACCGAAGCAATCCTGGAAACTATAGGTCTGTCAGCCTTACAGCAGTAGTATGCAAACTCCTTGAATCCTTGGTGCGTGATGCCGTCATAGAACATCTTGACTCAAACAACCTATTATCAGACCGCCAACACGGCTTCGTCCAGGGCAGATCCTGTTCAACCCAACTCCTGGCCTGCCTTGACATATGGTATCGTACCCTTGACGAAAGAGGAAGTCTCGATGCCATTTATTTCCAGAAAGCATTTGATACTGTACCTCACAAAAGATTACTGAAGAAGCTCTATGGGTATGGTATCCGTGGAGACATACTCACCTGGATCTCAGACTTTCTCAAAAACAGGCGACAGAGAGTCTTTGTTAACGGGAAACCATCTGGATGGTGCCCAGTTCTCAGTGGAATTCCACAAGGTAGTGTCCTGGGTCCTGCACTGTTTGTCCTCTATATCAACGACCTACCCGATAATGTGAGCTCCATGGTCCAGATGTTTGCAGATGATACTAAAGTCTTCAAGGAAATTAAGTGTAAAGAGGATGCAGAAAAACTCCAGTCAGATCTCAGAGAAATGCAAAGATGGTCCGAATGTTGGCAGCTCAAATTCAATGCAGCAAAGTGCAAAGTAATGCACTTAGGTTTTCTGAATCGAAAATATGAGTATAATATGGGTGATAATTCAAACACTATAAACCTATCCGAGACTCAGAATGAAAAGGACCTTGGTGTGAATGTTGACAATACCCTGACATTTAGTGACCATATCCGTCGGGCAAGTAACAAAGCGAATGGTATCCCAGCAATGATCCGCAGATCATACACTTATTTGGACTTTGACGTAGTACATAGTTTATACATCTCTCTTGTACGGCCACTCCTCGAGTATGGGAATGTCGCTTGGTCCCCCATGTACAAAAAGGATGCTGAGCTCATCGAGAAAACACAGAGAAGGGCAACGAAGCTGGTTCCAGAACTAAAGGACCTACCATATCAAGAACGACTGCAAAGTCTTAAAATCCCGAGTATGTATTATAGAAGGGCGAGGGGAGATATGATCGAAGTTTTCAAATATCTCCACAACATCTACAAAACATCATGGCCACTACAACGGGATTATAACACCAGGACTCGTGGACACTGCCTCAAGTTGAAGAAACAGTACTCAAGACTGGCTATCCGCCGCAACTTTTTCAGCCTGTGTGTGGTTGACTTGTGGAATGATCTGCCAGAAAGCGTTGTCACATCCAAGACGGTTAACTGTCTCAAATCCCGCCTCGACTTTTACTGGTCAAACATCACCTTCACTTTGGACTATGTGACTGTTGCCAGCATCCATAGTAAATAAAGAACAGTGATCTACTTATTTATTTATGAGCGACTAAAAGGCCTTAGGCCTATTACAGCCGTATCCTATTGATTGAATACTACTGGACTCCTGGTACTAGGATGGGTTAAAAGCAGAGAACAAATTCCACTGTGTGTGCTGTGCATGTGTGACCATAAAAGAGGGTTTCATCCCTCCCAATTACAAAACTCATGCCCGAATGTCCTCCTTGATCTTGATCCTCTCTCTGGTCAGTGATAGTGACCACTACCTCAGGGTCTACGCCTATGTAAAGGGCCTGGACATTAGTTACAACAACGACTAGGAAGAGGTCAAAGTTATCAACCAGGAGTCCTTAGCTGATGCTGCTGCTGGTTTCAGTCTCATATGTTAGACACCTCATTTCTACTCTACTTAGAAAGCCCCCAATGTCCTGACACCTGAGCAAGCTTCTGTCCCTGGCGTCCTTTGAAGCCTTAAGGCAGAAGCCTTTGAAAAGAGTCAACCTTGAGTTTGGAATATTTTATCACAGATTCCTGTTACAAAGGTCAAGAATGAATGTTCTCGTGCAGCATTTTAAGCGACGCTTGCCTTGCCCCCCCGCTAACCTTTCCCTCTGCAAGCCCCGCTGCATTTATTTGTAGTGTTGTGTGAGGTTGTTGTGTTGGCATGACAAGTATGGCAAGGTGTGTTCCAGCACGGCAGGTTGTAACTCAAGGTCTCCCAGCAGGGCGGGCCTGGAGCGCAGGGACCCCCAGGACCTCCAGGACCCCCCGGAACTCCAGGGACACCGGGCCTTAATGGAGCCTCTGGCCCAGCAGTGAGTTCATTTATGTTACTCTGACACTAGCAAATGTATAAAAAGGCAATTTTAAAGAAACAGAATAGTGCAACTAAAAAACACTTCATCAAATAAATAGGTAGAACAAGTCGAGATAGCACACTCTAGGAAGAAACACTGGGAATTAGCTGATACTCAAAACATACGAGACGAACTGGCACAGACAGAATATTTTGAGAGGAAAGATGATTAGGGACAGGTGACTGATCGGGCGGAGTAGATAATCACCAAGCTGGTAATGCATGAGGACAGGAAGGGGAGTATTTAGACATGGGATGGATGTGACCCATCATGGAACTGCATTTGTAGTTTTGTTGAAAAGGACTAATTCACGTCTGCTCTTCTGTGCAGGGTAAGCCTGGTGAGCCAGGCAAACCTGGAAAAGACCCGAGGGTCAGCTTCGCTTCAGTGAGTCCTCCACATTTATTTTCCACATTTTTCACATAACTGAAACTGTGTTGGTGTGACATTAAACTTATTTATTTCCACATTGTTTCTGCAGCTTTTACCAGGACTGAAGGTAAACATATTTCTCTTCTTGACCAAACAGCAAAATTACATTTCTGAAAAACATAATTAGCATCACTGTGAGATCCCATGATGTCTTAGAAAAACACACTGAGGCCCAAACAAAACAAGCCACAGAACCAGGATCAGGTCTCTGTGCAGCTGCACACATATCAGACCAGCCCCAGCTTCACAACAGAAACCTTTGGATTGGATGTTTTTTTAACTCCACGTGATGACTTTATCGTCCGTATTACTTGGAAGGAACTGTAGATTGTGAGGTCAAATAGATGGTCAGAGACTTATTAATGCTCCTCAACAGGCTGAGTCTCATCAGCTTTAGCATGAGCAGTAACAGCTGATCACAAAGGCATTCTCTGGAAGTGTTTCCTTGTACGATGTGAGGGTCTAAGGACAGAGGGTGTCGTTTTTCTCATACTGATATTCTGAAAAATCTGTGCTGTTGTATTTGCTGTAAAGTGTCTCTACTGTAGGCTATTTTTATTATATGTACAGCACTTTGGCTCGACCAAAAATCGTTTATAAATGTGCTATATAAATAAAACTTGATTTGATTTGATTTGAGAAAGACATGATTTTAAATCCTTAAAAACAAGCCTCAGCCAGCTGCAATTCTGTTCATATTTAAATACAAAATACTCATTTATTTACACTCTTGTTACTCTCCAGGGTGAACCGGGAGTGCCAGGACAAAAGGTGAGCTATCTTCTGTGCTTAACTTTAAAAAATAAATACGGTCAGTAGAATCCAAGATGGGTGATTGGGTGGAAATATGAGAACACAATCCATCACGTGATTAATAGATTTGTAATCACAAAAGTCAAGCAAAAAACATCTGTTTCCCTCAGTAACAGTGGTTCTTCATATAACATGTGTTTAAAGGCAGCTGCAGGGGTAAATGCAGATGATAAAGGAAGGTGTAACCATCTGTAAGCTGCTATATTAACGAGATAAATACGTACAATATAGAAGTTCATAGAGGGATTTGAAAGCACCTCAGAGGGAAATGGTTTCAACAAATAATGTGTCCCTTTGCTTGTGTGGAGTCCACACACCATGTTTGTTATTCGTCAACTTCCTGTCAATCAGTGTCTGATATTTGTCTTTGTGTCCCTCCCCAGGGGGATCGAGGGGGCGCTGGCCCAGCGGGTTCTGACGGCTCAAAGGTATTCCACTCTGCCTGTATATAACTTTTTACATTTAATTGCAGCATTTTTGTTTGTCATTCAACGGTTAATGACAACAATAAGTTTAAAACAAACTTTAAAGCATATGCTTAAGATCTACTTAACATGTATGCACATTGAAATGAATCATGGGTTATTGTGGGGAGGCTGTGGCTCAGTGGGAAGTGTGCTGGACTTCGAATCAGGGGGTAACAAGTTTGAGTCCCACTGCAGTCGGCATGTCGTTGTGTCCCTGAGACACTTCACCCCAAATTGCTCCTGAGGGTATTGGCCACAGTACTGAATGTATGTAAGTCGCTTTGGATAAAATGACATGTAATGTAATGTAACCATGCCTCTCCTCCATTCTGGCCGTGAAAGGATCCTTTTCTAATGCAATTGCACTGTGAGAAGCTCTGAAGAAACTGCAGTAAGGAAGACATGATTAAAAAATGTCAAGTCACCCTGACTTGAAAATGTTTAATTGTGCACTATGTCAGCTATCAGTATATTTGATAAAGATATATTTTGATTAGAGGTGTCAATCAATTGAAACATTGTATTGCGTTCATCACAATAATAAACTGTGATTAATCATGAGCAATAACAGTTTATAATCTCACCCACTTTTCGTCTACCGTGCCATGTCTCCATGCTATCTAGAAGTGTAATTTGAGACATTGTCAGAACCGATGTGTATGTTCATCTTGACTGGAACAGGGTGTGTCATATTAAAGGACTGTACCTTTGGACTGTCTAACTCTAATATCAGCCTGAGCTCTAAACGTGATGGCTGTGGATTTTGTCCCCCATCTTGTCCAAGTTAGCACCAGAGTCATTATTAATGAAGCTGGTTTTGAAGTTGTGTGTCATAAAAATATTACAGCCCTGACCTCACAAAATGATGCAGGTACCATCTGCTGCCACATTTATGGTTTTGGCATTTATTTAATGGGATACATTTGTTCGATTATTGAATGTTAGTCTCCTAAGTACTGACAGGAACAACAACGCGTATGCACACGCCCACTTACGCACACACTGTGTCGATGGCAGCTTAAATAGTCTAATCTTGCTTTAAAGCTGTGAGTGATGCTTCACTCCACCTGCCTGACCGTCTCATAATGTCTTGGCACACTTCTGTTAGAGGACACAAACAACAACTAACAAGTACATGTGCACAGCCAACGCTTTGTAATCCAAGCCTTTACATTGTTACACATAACAAATGTCTTCATGTTTAAACTCTCATAAAATCTTTACCAAGAGAGGTTTGCGGTAACAAAAACTTTATTTTATGACTTTTTTTATGTTAAAGGTGGGGTAGGTAAGTTTGAGAAACCGGCTCGAGATACACTTTTTGTTATATTCCATGGAATGCTCTTAACATCCCGATAGCAATGAATATCTTAAGTGCTTTGACAAAAAATCCATAAAAAAATGTCATCTGTGGAAGCAGTGGCGCTGTAAACAGCACGACCAATCATCTGAGCCGGCCCGGCTAAAGTAACTGGATGGCCTACCTGCCTGTCAGCCTTCCATCTGTGCACAAACTTATCTCGTGCCCTCATTGGTCATGTGGGCGTTCGTGTGTGTTGGAGGAGGGGCTCTGTAAGGAAGTGGCAGATTTTTTCCGGCTGTGTATTTTCAAATTCTAGCGCACTCGAGCTGGTTTCTCCAATTTACCTACCCCACCTTTAATACAATGTGAAATCGCAAGTAATCTTGCTGTCTCACTCAGAACTTAAGGGAGAAGTTGGCCCTGACACAGCATGCAGCCGCTCATTTACATCCAGCAGACACAGCGCAACATTAGCATTCATTTGGAGTTGTGTTGCTGGCCAACTCAGTTTCTCCCTGTGTCTGTAGTTGTATCAGTGCTAAAAGAGTCATTTATGACCTCGTCATTTTGTATGTTACTCAATCTTTATTGTACCATTGTTACTTGAGTTTTTCTTTTTTGGTTTTCCCCTAAGGATATTACCTTGTAACTGGTACTTTCTTTAGTACCACCTCAGTCAAGGTTCCCAGCGAGCTGAGGCGATACTAAAATGTGACATAAGAACTTGGTCAGTATTTCCAGCACAAACCTGCCTTTAGACTACCGTAAATAGTGATCACATTTTATTTTTCACTCAACCCAGATTGTATAAAAAAAATTACAGCCAGCTAAAATATGTATAAACCACGCCTTTCAATTTAGGAAGTGCAGATGTTCCTCTTTTTGGTTGCCAATGAAAGGCTTCAGTGAGATTCCCTACACACAGCAGAGGGTTAAAATCAATATGATATATTGCAAATAACTAATAATAGAGATTTGCAGATTCAAATAAAAATGTAGCTTTTATGCCAAACAACACATAATGTCTGCAACTGAGATATATTTTATATAAACTATCAGTGGCGTTTCTATATGTACAAAAGTGGTGGGGCAAAAAAAACGTAGATGTCTATATATAAGCTTCTGCAGTGAGGTTCATGGCTGGTGAGGCACTGGCACTGATTCTTCAGGTTTACAAATATTATATTTTGACCTAAATCAAAATATAATATTTTTTCCAAAAACTTTTTTTGTCTGATGCTTCGATTCATTTTAAACAGACAGTTCAACAAAAGGATACCCAAAAAATCTAATTGTATCATTTAAATATTGAATTGTTCTCTCTTAGTAAGATCCCATTTTCAATAAAATTGCAGTCTTACCTTGACATGAAGATGAAGTCCATTTGCCTATCCTTCTGGACAAAAATCTCTATTACTTTTTTGTAAAAGTCCTCCTTATGTTTTTGTAGTTTCAAAAGTCTATCATAAATCTAAATGATGGATTTATGATTCGAAAATGATAAAAGTAGGGTAGACATGTGGATATTATCCGGCTGAATAAAAGGTGCATTTATCTAACAGGTACGTTTCCCACAGATCTTATTTTGAGCTATTTTCTAAAATCCTATGGAGAAATCTCGCAGCTTACTTCCTGGTTTTAGGACGCGTCTCTCTCCTCTTCACACACCACACTTTTCGCGGCACACGTACTTACAGCCAATCAGCTCTGAATGATGTGAGATGACGTATGGTGGGGATGGCAGCTCTATGCCCCTATGGTCATTATTTTTTGCCACACACATTAAATAGGAACATACTCTGAGCATGCGCAGTGTAGTTTTTACAGTCACCGTTCACTTAGACAGTGACAGGGAGGGGCAGGATCGGGTTTTGTCCCACATGGCTCTAAACAGCTCAATAGGCACACACTGTAGACACTAATTAGAAGAACACAGACTAAAACAGCAATGTAAAGACAAATCAGATGATTAAACATGATCTTAAAACATTTTTTATATATTGTGCTGTGCCCCACCTGCCCCTAATGGCCAGTCGCCACTGTGAACTATAATTCTTTAAATTCATAACAAATAAATGCATTTGTTATTTTCAATCGTCAATACATTCCCCCTCCACTAACCTCCCCAGAGGTAAAGTCAAGCATCTCAATCCTCTGGGTATCATCCAACAGTTTGGTTGCTGTCACAACAGAGTGCAGAGTATCCATTGCATCACTCTCTGGGAAAGTGATTTTCCTGAAGCCTTCTGAAACGTTGGGGCTGGGTCTGCTGGAAGAACTTGGTTTCTGTGAGTTTCTGTGCACATTATAGCCTTGTAAACTTCAACCATTCTTCCATCTTATTTTGTGTTCCCATGATTCTGTTTTCTGCCATGAGCTTTATGAGCACATCAGGCGACTCACTTGAGGGTCAGTGAGAGGACAGAGGAGAGGAACTATTTCCAGGCTTTTCCTCCAAAGGTTGGACAACAACTACAGAGATTAAATGCTCCTTCAGTTTGCACACCCCCTCAGTGAGGGGTGGACCCAGTCCTCTCTGCTCATTGTAACGCTCACAGAGGGTCTCCTGCCCCATCTAGTGGACTGCTGTTATTGTGATCCATTGATGCACTCAACGGTATCTGTCTCTGCTTCACAGGGAACAAAGGGAGACCTCGGGACAAAGGTAAGATTGTTTACCTTTTCATTTTTCTGAAGAGTCCTAACTGTTTAAGGAACTGCTACAAATAAGGGCTGAAGCTCATTAACCATGTTCTGTTCAGGGTCCACCATTGTGGAAATGCTTGACCCCCATAACCCTCTATCCTGAGCCCATCATAGACTATTGTGTTAATTCTGTTTGTATTCATTAGATTTTTTTACAAAATAATTTTCTTAAAGATCCTCCTACAATATTTTTTTTTGGAGCCACCTTTAATAGCTAAACTGAAAAAAATAAACATTGATTTTAATTAAATGTATCATGTCAACAGGTTACACATAGCATTAGGTTAGTTGAAAGCTATAGTTATTGCAATTTAAGGTTATTGCTTTAAACTAACCTTATACAGTTATGTGAAATGTGTTGAAATAAAACATTTAGTTAAAGTAAACTTTTCAGTTTCTTAAGTGTAGTAAATGTTTGTGAACGGCCATTTTGTTCACACACGCTTTAACTGGAACCAATAGGCCCTGCTGTCATTTGTGAAGATTTAGATCTCCTCCTGTCAGCTCCATGTCAGGAGGTGTACTCCTCTCCCCCTGAGCCTTCGCTGTCTTTTGATTTTCTCGTGGTTGAAAGGGTGTGTCTGTTTTAACTGCCCCACAACTTCTCTGAGCTGCTGTTTCATCCACTCTGTAGGGAGATGAAGGGAAGAGGGGTTTCCCAGGAGAGAGGGGGGGGGAGGTATAGAGAAAGCCGTGTGTGTGTGTGTGTGTGTGTGTGTGTGTGTGTGTGTGTGTGTGTGTGTGTGTGTGTGTGTGTGTGTGTGTGTGTGTGTGTGTGTGTGTGTGTGTGTGTGTGTGTGTGTGTGTGTGTGTGTGTGTGTGTGTGTGTGTGTGTGTGTGTGTGTGTGTGTGGCATGTCAAGGTCTGTTCATGCATGGCACGATCACCAACGTGGCCACTGAAGCTTGGATGATTGAAACTGGGTTGCCATGTTAAAATCCGTCATGGATTTATACATTTAGGAGGACACACAGTTACACTTTATTGGTTTGACTTATATTATGGTAATTATCACAGTTTCAATGTTCAGTTGTGCTTTGAGGCTTTACCTGGCAGTAATGCACATCTCACATTTGTTTTTAGGAACTTTTATTTATTTGTTGTCATGATGGATAATCAGGCCAGTTTTTAGTGTAGTTTCTTCAAGGTTTGAGTCCTATTAAGTCCAATATAAACATTCAGAGTTAATGAGATTTATTTTGAACTACGAGTGCCAAAAGGGACTCTCTTTCTGTCCTTTTTGTTCTTAATACTTCCATTTGGCCCGCTAACTAATTGATATAATAAATATATGTCCACTTTATGCGGACTACACAGAGGAGTCTTAGTCCCAGCTGACCTGCAGCAGCTCTTCTTTGGCCGCTGCCATGTGTGTGTTTTCTCTATTAAGCCAAACATATGGACAGGTGGGGGAAAGAGGAAGAAAAAGTCAAAAGCGAAAACTTCAAGGGAAGTGAATATTCGTTGGTAGCCACAGGAAAAACTGTTCTGGAGAAAGCTTTTATTATTTAATAAGAGGAAGTGCTTTTGCAGGCCGATTTTTTTATGTGGGTAAGGTCACTTAATTGGTTGGGCTTCCATCAGCCCAGGGGAAATCTATAACCTCAATGAGCTGGCTGCTGGTGCCCCTTGCCAGACTGAAAATAATGGCCAGGTAGAGGTTCTGGGGGAAAAGAAACAAGATCTGCATGATGCTGACCACAAATGATGACTTCTCTAAAGCACAGGAAGGAAGCTAACAAAACTACCAACCCAAGTCCCATCTGTCAACCTGGTGAAACACTCTACTACTTCGCTGTAGACTAGACGTGTAATAAGCTCTGTCTTTGAAAGCAGCTTTGATTTTACTTTACCTGTGGGAACTGAAACACACGATATCAGAGAGAGTGCATTTTATGACAAAGGACTGGTTGCCAACAAATGCACTTCTTTGAGCAAATGAAAAGCTATCTCGACCTTCTTCCTTTCACTGCAAATGAGAAGCAATGAGCTCCCCAGCTGGAGAAATTACTCTGAGCAAAGGGCAACACGGCAGTTAAGTTTTCCAATCACCCACCATGTTCGGTTGTTCTTCACAGTGACCATACATCTGCAACACTTCTTGTTTCAGCTCTTTATGAGTACAGTGAAATGAAAAAAAGTACAAACTGATTTTTTTCATTGAATGGATCAATGTCCATTTCTTACTGAAATCATTGAAAAATCATAGCATTTTACTAATATGTTGTTCTTATTTCTATCGAGGATGCTTCCTTGAAGCGTTCTGTTTGGTACATGAACTGTCGTACTGGCATTCTCAGGCCACTCTTCATAATACCTATAACAATATATATCACAGTAACTCTTTAGGGGATTTTAGGGGAGCAGGATGAACTGCAATGTCTCCGTCGACAGGCGAGAGGAAAGAGGAACGTAACGCAGAAACCAAGGCAGAGCAGTGTGACTGCACTTGTACTGTGTATAATCAGTGAACTGGCTTACTGGCTGAAAAAGTGTCCCAACATGCAAACACTGATGACAACTGCTATGACATGAAGGGAACAGTCATACTGAAAGGACAAAGGTCCAAATACATGTTATTAAAAGAAACACGTCACAATATCATTCATTATTTATATATTTGACAATGAATCTTGAGGGGTGAAATATATTTTTTATAATATTTGGCCTAAGTGATACTGGCTGAATAACTTTAAAGAGCTCATAACAGCTTTACATAAGCACACTGATATATTGGCCTATGCCTAATCCTATAATTCTGTTACCAAGCATCCTGGTTCACTGTCAGTGTACACATGGAACCTGTACATATAAGTCACTAGCAAAGGTCTGGCCGTGAGTAGCTGTGTCTCCATGTCCCTCCTCTAAAGCTCCCTACACACCAAACTGACACCAAAGAACACATCCCGACGGAACGTCGGCTCACGTCTCCTCACGTCTTGGCCATGTTTCGCACTGGAACACACCGCAAAGACTTCAGCCGGCGATTACATTTTTAGTCCAAGAGATGCTGATTTGAAACCGTTGTTACATACAGTTACGGCATTTCCTGTTTCTGCCGGAGAGAGGGGAGGCCGTCCCAAAGCTTGCTGCTGTATTTACTCCCTCCATCTGACAGGAGGGAGCCTCGTTGAGCTGCGAGTGTGGCTACAGACGGAGTTCACTCCGTCACGGAGGGTCGAGGGAGTGGTTTGGGATTGGGCCTCAGACTGCGTGATAACCGAGAGAAGAAGAACAGACTGCGTGATATAAACAAACAACAAATAGCGTGTGCGTTCCATTTTCACTCTACAGCGAGAAGCTCATGGGGCTTTCCAGATCCTGAGTCGAGAGCTGGAGTTAAAGGAAATCTCAGATTTGCCTTCTTAATCGTTTGTTTTGGTCCCTCACTTCCGTTTCGCTTCTCATGCATTGATTCGCTAAGCTGAACAGCCAATCAGAGTGATTTCTTTGGCCGACAGCCTACCGATTCAACATGTCGAATCGGCGGCGGAAGGTGTCGGCACGGCCGAAAAGACACGACGGTGCAGTACACACCAATCTGAGTAGGGCGACATGACACTCATCGACGTTCCGACATCTATCGACATCTATCGATGCCGAAAATCGGCTCGGTGTGTAAGGACCTTTAAACTGAGTTGGCTGCTGTACAAAAACAATGAAAACAAGTGCTATATCCCCAGAAGATGATAACACTATTGGTTCAAACTCATTTCTCAATACTTCCCCTTTGAAGTGGAAAACCCGTGTCTGCATGGCTTCAATTAAGAGATTAGCATATTGATAAATCATGACATGGCATGTGAATGTGACATTTAAGCCTGCACACACTTTATGTCACGGAAAGAGAGATGTTAATATAGTTGCATGGTCAAACTTTCCAGAGGAATGCTACAGGCAGATCAAAGAGGGACGCTGCTTCCTGTTTGGGTCAGCTGATTGTTGGGGAGCCGCTCTAATGTACCCTCTGTGCATTTTAAGCCATCACCACTCAGGTCCTTCTGGGGGTTTGGAGATCAAGCTATGCTTTCATCTGAACACAAACTAATGTGCACCAGTGGACATTCTGTCGTTATGTGGTCACTCCTACCAAATCTGTCTTAAGACGGACACTTACAGCTTTAATGACACTATTACACCACAACACTCTAATGATGTGCGGTTAGAATTGGAGAGAAGATACGTTTCCAAGGATACAGTTATAACAATAATAATATCAGAGACTGGATGCTTGTTGTATTTTCCCAATGGTTGCCAGGCAGTAGAAGACGCTGGAGTGATAACAATGCTCTCAATAACATATCAATATGTATAATACACTGTACACTGTATGTGTGGCTGCATGATTCTGGTTATTAAGTCCAAATATATCAGTTGAAATGTGCTGGTCTACTTTGCTTTCTGTTAATAACTAAGGGATAATAAACAAATTATAAGAAATTAAATTCAAGTATCAGCAGAAACAAAGTTGAGGGCATATTGATTCCACTAGGGCAAACCGGACTGAAGAAGCTCCCCCCACCAGAGAGCTGTCTGTGGGTGGTGGTCACAGCTGTGACTGCTCATCATCTTTAAACCATCTACTCAGTCATCTGAAAGAGCAGCAGCTACACAGATGAACTGAAAGGCTCAAGTGTGTTTCCCTTTCTATTTTTAACGACCACTTTCACAGAGTTCCTCATGCTGTGGCTGCCATTTGACACATGTAATCAGTCACGGTTTTTAATGTTACTGTATACTTTAATATTGAAAGATACAATGGGTCCCTCCCTAGCCCCCCAACCCACTTACAAGTACAACCAGACTGAAGGTCAAAGGTTTTGTAGTTATTTAGCGTTTTGCAGTTCTGCAGAGAAGCAGTCCTCTCAAACTAGAGACACACACACCGCTCAGATGTTAGCTGGAGCCTCTTTGCATTTCTTTGTAGTTCTTTTGCATGTGGTGTGATTGCGCTTTTCTGCATGTCGTTTTTACGATCTGGAAGAAACAATATCAACTGTTTTTATTTTCTTCTTTTTCCACCATCTTTTACCTTTTTGCCGTGGTAGGGAGGATCAGGACTCCCGGGCGCTCCTGGGTTCAAGGTGAAGTCAATTCTGAGCTGTGTGGTAGTTATTACACACATTGAGATCAGTGGGTCATAATCATGTTTCTCCCGCTGCAAAGGGCCAGGCTGGCGTCCCTGGGTCCCCTGGAATCCCCGGGAAGAGGGGCTACAGGGTAGGCCTTGAATGGAACGGCACCCCTAACTGTCTGTTGTGCTTCTGTCAGTGGTCTTCACTCCTCTAGTAACTGGACGTCTGTAAAGTCAGATACTCATCAGTGCTTTGCGTGGTGTTGTTTGACTGCCCAAAGCTCCCTGTGTTGTGTTTACCTTTCTGTGCTGCTGGCCATGCTTCACTTGCCATTACGTGGAGTTCTTTGGTCTTTTTAAGGATGGTATAATTCACATAACTAACTCTGTTGTTGACCTTATCATATGTGTCAGTCATCTGTCAGTGGATGCTACACATTATCATATGATTCAGTATGAATCAATGAAGAATGTATTGTCTTGGATGTGTTGTGAATATAATCTCAACTCATATCCACTAACTATCTCACTAACTCGCTTTGGAGATTTGGAATTCAGCTCGATTTGGGGATCCCATTTTAAGTGTGCCATAAGGGGTTTTGTAATGGAAATGAGACGTTTTGAGTAAAAGTAATATTGACACAAATATGTAATTAACTGGCCAATTAAAAATGATAATAAAACAGTACAGGATTGAGAGAATTTAAATGGACATTAATTACCAGTCAAATAGTTCTTTAATGTATTTTCGGTAAGAATTCTAATCTATGAACAGTATTTGTAGTATTTACCAAGTACCTTTAAGGGGGCTTTGGTTGCATGCAGCTAAACTGTGTGGAGTGCAAAAAATGCCAGAATGCAATCTCAGAGCCCACCTAGCTTTTACAACTTTTTATCAATTTGGCTTATTGGCTAATTGGCATGACATCTTCTCTTAACCCCAACTGTAACTATGAGCTCACACAGAAGAGTAACTCCTGGCCTGGATATCTGCTGGTTTCCCTGGAAACCCAGAGATAATATTTGAAGCCCCCAGAGGCTAAACGCATGTCAGATTGACGATGGACCCGGAGATTGGGTTGATGGTAATAAGGGTTCTGTGTTCAGCCAATACTTTGTTCTCTATGTACGGCAGGGGGACAAGGGAGAGCCACGCATTGCTGCCACGGGAATTAAAGGAGAACCGGGTTCCCCAGGACTACCAGGCCAGCTGGGACCCAAGGTAAAGGGAAACCGTTTGGCACTGAGTACCAATCATAGGTTATTCATTAGCACTGTTAACACAACAAATCTACTGCCCTTGGAAGTCACAATATATATTCCTTTTCCAGGGTGACACAGGCAACAAGGGAGACAAGGTAAGACAACAGCATTTCAAATACTATCACAAACTGAGACTGTGGATGGAGGGTCTAAGTGTCATACCTTCCTTTAACCTCTAGGGGGAAGCAGGACCTGAAGGCTCAGTTGGACCAAGAGTAAATCAACCCATATATCGATACATAGTACATACAATATTAATTTTCTTATCAAAATGTTAATGGTTATTGTCTTTCTCTCCTTATAGGGTCTTCCAGGCCCAACTGGGGAGCCAGGAAAGGCTGAAATCCACAACAATGAAAATGTATGTAACTCATATTATGTTTCACTTAACTTGTATAAAACGTGTAGAATCAAATAAAGATTAATTCAACAAATTGTATTCCTCCACAGGATATTCGCAACATACCCCTGATGGTAAGAACTTCAAAGCATTTTCATGACATGTGCAGACACAATACAGTAGAAAATATCCTTTTGAATGACAACATGTGTCCTCCTCTTAGGGCCCCCCTGGATTACCTGGACCTTCAGGCCCCCCTGGAAACAAGGTAGGAAATACTATTTTATGAATCATTTAGTTTTATCATCAGAGGATCATTCTGGTAGGAGGCCCTGGGGCAAATCTTGTTGGCCCCTATAAACAAATTAAGGATAACTGGTCCCTGGTTTTTGATGTCAGTTTATTGAATCAGGTGTATTTAAAAAATAAAAAGGATAGCCTAAAGGAACAGCCACAATAAAATGATTTTATGGACTCTAGCCTTCAAACAGTTGCTTGCTTTGCCTTGTGGGTAATAAAGCCTTGGTGTTTCCTCAGGGTGAAGTTGGTCTGCCGGGTGCTCCAGGTGTGGACGGAGATAAGGTAATACCAAACAGTTGAATAGTGACACAATGGTGATCACATGTTGTTAACTTTCAACAGCTGATGACACATGGAGAGGGTGAATCATGCTCCCGTTTGGAAATGTCTGTAAAGGATGTCTGTTTTCACGTAGATTCCTTCAGGCTCATTAAATGGGTTTGTGTTTCAGGGACCCAGAGGGAAGCCTGGAGATACTGGTCCTGCAGGCCCAGCCGGTCATGAAGGGCCCAGAGGGGAGAGCGGTGTCATGGGCTTCCCGGGACCCAAAGCAGACAAGGGAGACATGGGTCTATCTGGATCACCTGTGAGTGCCTGTGTTAACCACCCACCCCGCCCCACATCACTCACTGCCTGAGGTTCCCCGACCAAAGCCCAACCCCACATCTGTCGTTATCCAGAGGGAAGGCTGTGGCTTTCTAATTAGAGACTCACTATCTTGGAAGGGATGACATTGCGCTTATCTTTTGATTCACTGTGGCTTTGATCCCAAATGTGACCCATATTAAGGGCTATGCTACTTGTAGGCTGGTGTTCCTTTGAGGCAGTCCTTCTGTACGTGTAGGGTTTGGATGGTGTGGCCTCCAATACAGTATATTTTTGGGATGTCTATTCCCCGTGTTATCCTGTTCTGAATGTTTGACAGGTACACTAACATTTAATAAGTTGGCAAACTCATGTCCTCACAATAAGTAGGTTGAGTAAACTTAGTATTGTGAGTAGGTGTAACTCACACCTACTGTTTATTATAAGTGTACTTTAATTCATTTAAGAAGTACAACTGACGAAAATGTTTTAGATGAATGATACTTCAAAACAATGCTTATTTATTTGATTCTGTGTGCAATACATAATACTAGTTGCATCCTTCCTCAACCTAACCCTTTAAGTTCTACTTGCTCATCATTTCCAAGATTCACCTAATTCAATCAAACAAACTCATTCCTGTGAAAGGAGATCATTCTACAACAAATATAATTATATTAGTCAACAACAACAACAATAAATACTTTATCTATAAACAGATTTTGTTAACTAATATTCCCCTTAAAAAACAATGCATTGAGACTAATTTGGTTCATTCAGCGGCATTACATTTATTTTCAATCAGCTTAGACCTCTTACCGTGTGAGATACTTACATTGTTGGTATTTATATCTTGCTTTGTTTATTTATGATTATTTTTGATGTAAAGGGATGAGTGAATAAGAAAAGAATACAAGAACAAATCATTGAAATAAATCGGCCCTCACACCACTCAGTCCCTGAATAGAAAATGCCTTTGTATAAACTTGCACCATATGGTTTATAACATTTATGAAATGCTCCTAAAAATTCAGTTGGATGCTAAAGTGTCTTCCATCCGATCCCTTATTCTGAACCTGGACAGTCCCTGTGCTGCTGGCGGTCTGCAACGGGCTGTATGGCCCCCCTGTTTTATGGGAATATGTGAAGGACAATGTGCAGTGGTCAGTAATGGGAAGACAACACCTAAGTAAAAGTACTAATGCAACAATTTAAAAAGGCTTAATTGCAAATCAAATCCACATTCAGAAACATAATAATAACAATACAAATAAACGTAAGCAAAATGTACTTTAAATATCTTATATGTGCTTTAAGAAATAAAATGTGCCATACCAGCCCCTCATTTTGTATATAATATGTAAAATAAACAAATCCATGCTTATTAGTAGCATTGTCATTTTTATTTTAAGCCCCCTATTAAATGTGTTATGATTTCATCAAATGTTTTTGGTGAAAATATGACTTATATGTAACAAAGAAAAATGTAAAGCACAATATTTACCTTACACTTTATACATTAGCTCAGGGGTCTGCAACCTTTTTGACCAAAAGAGCCATTTTTCCCCCTTTTCCACCCATTATTTTTGTATGGAGCCGCAAAACATATTTGATAGATTGATTGCTTATAAAGTTGTATATATTGGGTACCACTTTACAATAAGACTACCCTTATAAAGGATTCATAAAGGGTTTATAATTAGGTTATTAATTAGGTTGTAAACACTTTATTAATCATTAACAACCATTTAAAAACCAGTTCTAACATAGTTTTCATACATCAACACAGGCTCACTATTTGGCAAGATGACTAAGCCTTATATTGACTACTTAGCTTACTTCGTCTTCTTCATCAGCCAGCATCCTTGGTATCTGTTGTTCACTGAGTTGATTCCCCCCTTCCATCTTGATGTTTCTTGGCATCTCTTTATGACCATTTATTTACGAGTTACTAACATTTATAACTGCCAAAAGGGAGCCTTGTAAAGTGTTAAACAAATCACCATTTATTAATGAGTTACAACCATTTATAATTTATAATTTGTATTGAAACGTGTTAAACAAATCACCATTTATTAATGAGTTACTAGCATTTATAATTAGTTTAAGTTATATTAAGCCTTAAAGTTATGCATAAATTAGGGCGTGGTCACATTGAGTGACAGGTCTGTCCATTGACTGCTGCTGTTAGCTTTCTGCTCTGCTAGCAGCTCCGTGATGCTACAGGGGCTCTGCCTGCTTAACTCATCCGGGGAACATAACTTGAACTCTGCCGTGTTTGTTGTGCTGGTGCCTTTTGGACTGTTCTTCATGCTTATATCGGACTATTGTGACTCGCTCCATGTTTAAAACAGACGGTGCATGAATGCAGTTTTGCGGTAAGTGAAATTCGAGTAATTTATTTATGTGTTGCTTATGTTTTTAGTCAGCTAACGTTAATGAATGTTAAGGCTTGAGTTAGCATGTAGTAAGCAAGTGATAGCTACATCTGTGCTAACAATGCTAATCGCAGTCTCCAAGTTAGTTTAGTTTAGTTTATTATTTTTTTCCGAGCGTGTAAAACCAAAGAAAATACAAATGAAACAAAAGATGATACAGACATGATACAGTACTATACAAATGAATGCAATAACAAAACAAAATATGTAATTAATAATTGAATAATCTGTAGTATCATTGTCTGATATTGATATTGTCTTTAATTACACGTCCGAAAAGGGCTCAGAAGAAGTTCACACTTATTTAGTCCGACCCCTTCTCCCTTTTTTTAACTTTTTTTGTACATCTTAATATATGTTACCATACAATATAAATGTATACTTATAATCTTGAATAATTTATATAATCATTCATATAATATATACAGGCAAGTTAGGAGAATGGTCTCTATATATTTATATATATATATACATATGTACATACACAAATTCATACAAACACAAATTCACTAATAGAATACAAAACAAGAATATAAACAGTTATGGTTTAGCAATTTCATCCCTGTACCTTGTGAGAATTGTGTCTTTATACCTCTTTTTGAATAGTTTTATGTTTGTTAAAACGTTAAGTAGGATAATACTGTAGAACAAACGGCTTCTGTTTGAGGTTAGTAAAATAAGTTCATCCTTGTAACTTAGAGAGATATTTTATTAGGTAGGTAACTGTATGTATTGATAAGGTTAATTTAAATTAGCTATGATCGATATGTAGACAATCTAACGTCAAAGTAGTGTTGAAGAGCGGCGTAGTGTATGTGGAATCAACCTCACAATAAGATGTGTGTATATTACAAATATTAATGTCATTTCTCAAGATGATTACTTAGATATTACAATATGGTTGGTTGAGCTGGAGTTCATTATTGAGCTTACACATTAACATCACAGTCACCTGAAGAACGAACCCAAACCTTGTTGTTTTTATTAATTGTATTACCAAATTGGTATCAAATAAATAGTAAACTATTTTATTTGAGTAGTCCTATGTCCGGCAGTTATAGACTGGGCTTTCTTGTATAAGAGAATATATATATATTTTGTTATTACTGTATAATTATCCTTTACTTATGTTATACAATGCACCTAATAAACAAGTATTGCATTTTGAAACATGATGTGCAACAATTGTTACTGTAACTTGTGTGCATTTTGTTGTTAACTAAGATGATGTTATGATTTATCTTTTTGTTAGTATGCACGTGGACGCTTTGGACATACCTGGAGAAGGAAGAAATGGGTCTTCGGAATGATGGGAGTTAAAGACAAAAGCGGAGACTAGTGGAGAAACGATCAAGATGCCACCTTGTCCCTCTGATTGGACGGCATGTTAAGTCAGGAAGTAGCATTATGAGTGATGAGTGGAGGGCATACAGGAGAGTGCTGAGTAACATGGGGTACAACCACTACACCATAAACCACAGCAGGTGGTTGGTGAACCCCCAGACTGGCAGTCATTCCCAACATATAGAAAGAGCTTGGTCGACCGTCAAAGGACATGTCCGTAGACTGAGAGGAAACCGTACAGAGAGTTGGAGGAACACCTCAAGGTTCTTGAATGGTCATCTTGGCTTGGCTCTGCTCACCCTGATGGACTGCTTGGACGCTTGTTCAAGGATATACACAAAGCCTTTCCAGTCTGAGTACCATTATATCTTACCAAGTCTTTAATATGTTTAAATATGTGTATCAGTCATACTAAACAGTCATTACTTTGAGTCCTGATTTTCTTCATGTGTGAATAAAATGTTTTGCTTGGCTCTTTTGCGTCTTACTTTGCATTTCATGTGACAAATGTGTATTAGGTCAGCGTGAATGTTATAACTCATTCATAAATGGACATGTATATTAAACTTAAAAACAACGCACCCTTTCAGTAGTTATAAATGGTAGTGACTCATCAATAGATGGTGATGTGTTTCACACTTTACAATAAGACTCCCTTATACCAATTATAAATGGTAGTAACTCATTAATAAATGGTCAAGAAACATCAAGATGGAAGGGGGGAATCAACTCAGTGAACAACAGATACCAAGGATGCTGGCTGATGAAGAAGACGAAGTAAGCTAAGTAGCCAATATAAGGCTTACAGATACATGAGGGCTCATTATTTGGCAAGCAACCGGTCACAGTTGCCCTGTTTATCTCATGTCTTATAAAAGCTTATTCATGATTTATAAAGTGTTCACAACCTAATTAATAAATTACTTACAAACTATTCGTAAACCCTAGTCTAGTCTTATTGTAAAGTGGTACCAAGAACTCTTATAAGAAGAATTAAAAAAATACACAGGCCTACTTTAAAATAAATCAACACAGCACTTGGGGAGTCCTCTGCACATTTGAAGAAAATGAATATAATTAAAATGGGCCCACTTTGAAATAAATCAAACATATAGCTGCACCCTAAAAAGAGTTAACTGATTGAATTATGACTGAAGATCGTCAGCTGTCTTCCTCTCCCGTGTTGTTCCTCCAATACGTAAAGGCAGCAGCACCTTTGACAACTTCTCTCCACATATCAAACATACCGGTAAGCCAGCATCGTTTGCTTGAAAGCATATAACTCTGTCCACGCAGAATTAAACCCTCTGTGTTCCTCCCATACTTTTATTTTCTTTGATTTATCCATAGTTCGCTCATCGAGCCGGGGGTCAGCTTATTCACCTGAAAGGCGCGGGACCATAGCAGGATATGACGCAGGATATGACGCATATTTTAGTTGACCTAATTAAAACCGTTTTCTTTTTTTTAAATGTATGTGTCACAGTATCACCTCAAAACACAAGATACGAAACATTTTCAACCATGCAACAAATATAAATAGACCTACAAATATTTGTATTTAATTTCCTTCTTATTTTTGTCTAAGCTCAAGGGAGCCAGAGCAGAGGGCTTAAAGAGCCGCATGCGGTTTCAAGAGCCGCGGGTTGCCGACCCCTGCAATAGCATAAAATGGAAAAATTTGAGTAAAAAAGTACTTCAAACTGTTGAAAGTATGAAACTCTGGATAAAACTGAAGAGCATGTCATTAGACCATACAGTGCAGGTAAAGGCATCTGCTGTCATCGTGATGTCCATTTCCCTTTTCTTGTTCTGTAGGGTTTAGATGGCCCTACGGGTGAAAAGGGGTCAAGAGGGGCCCTTGGCCCCATTGGATTACCTGGCTCAATGGTACGCAGTGGGCCCTCAGCCTGCATCTTGCTGGATGCAGAGTCTGACCTGGCAAGGGGGGAACCGTTTAAATGTTTCCTATTCACCCCGTTGCTGCTCAGTGTTCACGTATTGTTTACCTGACCAGGGAATATATGAGCAGAGTGATGACTGCTGTGTCTCTCACCACACAGGGTCCTAAAGGAGAGCCTGGAGAAGGAGCCAGGTCAGAGATGGTAAGGGTCAGTCATTCACTCAGGTGTGATGAGTGTTCCTCATGGTGAATTACAACACTAAATGTTGCTTGTGTGTGTGTCTGTAGATGTATTGTCCTCCAGGGCCCGCCGGACCCCCAGGACCAGTGGGGCCAGCCGTGAGTCAAACATGTTATTCCCTCCTGAAACTTAACTGCAAAAAAACAATGAAATAAAATAGGATAATTCAATAGAAATGATGTGCACAGACACTGGCTGAGAAACAGACTGTCAGTAATGCTGCTGCCTTTGTTCCATCCAGGGAACTCAAGGATTTTCAGGGCCTAAGGTGAGATGTTGTTCCTATAAACTCATATGTAACAGCTGCTCATTATATTCAATCTGCCTCCATTTACATTGTACCGTAGCCATTCAGAGCATGGGAGAGTAATGATTGGACTGTACCATGTGCTTTCTCTCAGGGGGAGCTAGGCATAGGCATCAGAGGAGAAAAGGGAGCGACGGGTCTCAAGGGCGACAAGGGGGACAGAGGCCATCTCGGACTTCCTGTAAGTACCCTGTACTTCCTGTCTGTTCATAAGTCTCGGAAATCCTTGACTTCCATTTTTTACATGTTATATAACAATTTTTTTAAACATTTGAATGCAATGTTGAGTATTTGAGAGATGATAGCACTGCATCAGTACAGACATGTGAGCACTACTCAGTGTTAACCTTACAAAGCCTTACGTTTTTAACCGTAGTTTATGCATTTGTTACTGACCAGATTCATGTCTCAGATGTCTGCTTCTATGTCGTCTTAACCCTGTTCAAATGTTGCATGGGGGTGCAGATTGTTTCCAAAAGAAGTAAATCATCAACATACAACTCCATATCTCTACATGTTATTGCTTTTATTTTACTTTTTTATTCAAAATTATTTTCAAATACTTTTTCTTTTATACTCTTTAAAATGGTGTCTATCACTTTGGGTTTCTATTCTTATTCTTTGTTTACACTCACATTCAGGAATCCTTTATGTAGAGTGCATACTGTCTGTATCGTCCATGACCATACATCTGCAGGTTTTTCACTCGGAGGGACCAAATATGAATAATGTGGTTGTGATAGCAATATGTGTCACATCATTGAACAGAAAAAACACAAAAAGTAAAGAACACAATAGATTTTCGGGGGGGGGGGGGGGAACTAAAACCTAACCCACACAATGCAGAGTTTCTTCCTCTCTGAGTATCATTAGGGACTAGCTGAAATGACTAGCCAACAGATGTGGAGAAAGTAGTCATATCCTTTACTTAATTAAAAGTTCTAATAACATGCTTTAAATAATACTCCATTACAGTTATAAATGTTACTTAAGTAAAAGTACTTGCATTTTTTTAACATAATCGTACTCAAGTATCAAAATGTACTGATTGTGCAGGGTGGGTTTTTATTATTATAGAATATTTTGTTATTCTGTTATTATTATTAGAAAATGTTATAGTTTTATAATGCTGTCATCGTGGGGCAAATGTCGGAGATACTATGTGTACTACTGAGTAGATTAGTTGTATATATATACCATATAAACTCAAGTTGTTATTCATGTACCTAGTAACTAAATAAATCAACTCAATAAATGTAGTGGGGTATAAAGTACAATAATTCCTTTTGAGAAATCATGGAACTGAAATATAAAGTAGCATAAAATGGAAATATAAGTACAAGTTGCCCAAAACTATATTTAAGCAGTACTTGAATAAATGTACTTAAGTGCATTCCACTACTACTAACTAATTAGCAGAAACTTGCTATAGGAAATGTTTTGATTAAATACATGAAACCATTGTGAGGTGTTTCAGTGGGAACCTATGGGCCGCAGATCCAACATCATCCGTGCTCTGAACAAAGTGAAACTTCAATTAAATGTATTATGTCAACAGATTTCCAATACCTGTATTAGGTCAGTTGAAAGCAATAACTTTAAGTTCAACCTAATATTTGTAATGTTAACTTAATATTACTGCTTAACCTAATACAGTTATGTGAAATCTGTTGACATAATACACTTGGTCAACGTTTGACTTTTGTCAGTGTGGAAGAAATGACTCACATTACTGTTACTCACTTCACCTTCACCCCCACCACCTCCACCACCCTTCATTTGTCATAATCTGAATGTGTTTTTGATGTCACCTGAGTCACAGCTTCACTCACCTTCCCATCCCCACCCCCACCCCCACCCCCACCTTCCTCCCACCATCTCCCCCATCACCTCTGCTCTCTAACTGTGTACGGCGCTATACAGGGGGCTCATGGGTTAGACGGCAGACCTGGTCCAGTGGTGAGTGGCGCAAGTCCGGTTCCGGCCCCCCACCCTTCTTCCTTCTCTTCCTCCTCCTCCACCCCCTGCTACAGCTTGCTTATGTCTGCCATGTCTGCTCGTCTGTCCGCTCGCTCTCCTGCTTCCCATGCTTGTCTCGTCTCTTTTCCTTCCTGAAGTGTCTCTGAGGACGGGCTGTTCAGGGCGGGTTCTGAGGATGCACTGGCATGAGACTGTTTGTTCAGAGAAACAAGGCAACTCCAAACTGCAACTCTTCCCACGCAGATGTTCCACATTAAAGCCTTCCAGTGGTTCAATGAGCATGATGCCACCCTCACTATCTGAATCAGAATCAGAAATCCTTTATTCATCCGACAGTGGAATAATTTACATTAGCCCATAAGGTAGGCTGCGAAGAAATGTGCACATAAATATGATCGGTATCTTCTACAGAGGTGGAAGGAGTATCCAGATGCTTTACTTACTTTACCAATACATTATGTGACATTTCTAGAAAATGTTGTTGCATCAAGTAGACACAGTTCTGATTTAATTATTGTAAAATATTTAAATTATTTGAATCTTTTGTGACTTTAAGAGTTAGTCCACTAGTTTACTTTTAGAGATGCATTTTGTTAAAAGTAGCTAAAGCTGTAGTTGAGTAAAATAACATTATTTCCCTTTTAATTGTAGTGGAGTAGAAGTATAAAGTAGCATAACATGGAAATACTCAAGTAAAGTACAAGTACCTCAAAATTCTACTGAATTGCAGTACTCACTTACATCTATTCAGTTACTTCCCTCCTCTGATCTTTTATTTCAAGTTTTAAATGAAAATGCTTTTTATGAATACAGTAAGACAGAAATATGACTGAACTAGTGATTTTTTTAAATTAGAGCGCTACAGGAAAATCCCTATAATCAGTAGGTATCTTCCACCAGTGTTTTCGTGTTGTCTGATACCGGACATCATGTCAGTGTACCCTCAGTCCTCAGTCCGGCCTCAGATCCTGTTTCAGCTGGACTGCACACTGCCATTAAGAACCGATCCAGAAGGAGCATGCAGAGATGCTGCATGTTGACATGTCTTCAGTGAATCTGGACAGCTGTACTCAGTGTACGTGGATATGCCTGGGATGCAGGGTCTTCCTCTCCCAGCCTGACGCTGCTTCGACAGCTGCAGCTGTTCACATTTCATTCATTTCCCCTGATTGTAACAGCAGTTTGGTCAGTACTTCAACAAGCTTGGTGTGTAAATGCTACAGGTGTCAGGACAGAAAAGTGTCCTAACCTTTTTTGAAAAAAGCCTTCATCCAAATGGTCCATCTTTTAATTTACACCAAAAGCTTGTTGATTTACTGACATGAGGCATTTAGTGATGATATTTTCCTGGTACTATTATATGTGTTTCTGCTAACATGTATATATTTCCCATGTTCTGTTTTAAAGGGTCTAATAGGACCAGCAGGTGTTTCAGGACCCGCAGGACCAAAGGGAGAGAGAGTGAGTATATTTGGTGTGTTTCTCACATGAATATATTTTACAATAAATACAGTTATAGGAAATGATATGCTTTGTTTTTTTTCTCATCACTTCAGGCTGAAAAGGGAGATGCAGGATTACCAGGACCAATCGGGCCTCAAGGCATCCCTGTAAGTCTGAAATGACTTTTAAAAAGTTTATCATAGCGGCGAGCATCTCATTGCTCATTGGAAGCATCTTGCTCAAACCATCAACCCAAAACAACCAGCCAAAAACATTCATTTCGTGTTATAGTCACGACATTTAATCTATTGATTCGTGTTCACCAACACGATTTCCCCCTTTTTTTCGTGTCACACAGAACGATTTTAAAAGCAATGTATTTCTATTGGTAGTATATTTCGTGCCTGCAGCACGTCTTTTTGTCCGTTCTAGTCTTGGAAGACCGGAAGCTGTGGGGTTCATAAAAACATGTTCTTACTCAATATCAAGCCACGATTATTGTTTTTATTTTAAATCGTATAATGTCTGACTTTTTTTGTCGTCTGTGAGGAAAATAAATGGGGCTCAGAGCCTCAAAATACTGAAATCTGTATTTTTAAATCTTTTTTTCCTTCTAATTTGTTATTATTTTCAAAATAACACACTGTTATTTACTCACCAATAACACACAATTATCCATGTTTTTATTTATTTGTTTAATTCCATAATCTCGGGCTTGTTTGGCGTCCGTCAGGAACTGAATTTCAAAATAAAAATAACCGGAAACAGACGTAGGCCTATAAGGGACATTTCGAGCATCATTGCGATACACAGCCACTGAACTGATTACCCAAGATCCTCAGCTATGGTTTAAGCTCGCTGATTGGATGTTTTAGCCGCAATGCATGTAGGGATATGGTGTTAATGCGATATGAAATCCGAAAAACATTTCTGAGTTTAGGATGGCCGAAGACACCACACTACCCCATTATCCCCAGCTATCGTTTAGGACTACTGTCCCTGTGATTAATCTTCAAGCTCTGGGATTGGATGTTGGAGTGGCAGTGCGCCAAGGTTACGCTGAGCGTCAAACAGCTGTTTGAAATGGAACGAAACCACGCCAGACTATCCAAAACTGGAATCGAACGCCCCCCCAGAACTACACATGCTGGCTATTGTGTTTCGCAACATGTTCTATGGGACTTCTCTACTGAACGTTTTCGTTTTTCCCACAATTAGAAGTTGCCAGTATTAAACACATTGGTGTTATCAAATGTAAAACATATAATTAATAAATGGGTGAAAATCGCTTGTGTCCATAATGCGCAGCATTAATACCCACATGACAGCTCATTGTTACTTTGTAATTCTACTCCACTGCAATTCAGAGGTTAACCTGGTATTTTTACTCCACTGCATTTATTTGAGTTGCTTTGCAGATTCTGATTCATTATGTGAAATATAAACAACCCTTAAATCAGACTTTAGTTACACCTGAGTAAAATTCAGGTAAGGTGATTGTCAAGTGCCAACAATCAGGAGAGATATTTGATAGTTGGTGCTTGAGAAGACTAAACATGTATCTGCAATTGACATGAATGGAAACGAGTAATAAAGTATATTCATTACTCGTTATTCTCTACTAATAGTTCATTAAATACTGTATAATGGCCATTTTGCAAATCCCTTTCAAGATTTTCTAAGGTTTACATATCATATACACAACTACGGTGTAGTTATGCAATGAATGAAATGGGTCGCAGCTGAGGTTCCTCAACAGTGCATTACAAGAGATCTATCAATATGTGTGTACCTCCACCATTAAACTGTCATATTCTGCACATTTCTTATTCTATCTACATACATAAGAGTATAATTCATATGTAAAATATCAGTTAAAATAAGTGCTTGTTAACATTGCAGGAAAGCAATATATTAGACGTTAAGTACTTTGTCAGGCTTAATATTTATCTTTTGATACCCCCAAAGCTTTTTTCTTATTTAAAAGAAGACCTTAATCTAAAGTATTATTTAATGTTTAAATAAAGGTTAATTAGTTTTTCTGTTTTGCACCTCCTCCTATTAATATCTTTGTACATCCTGCACTAAACTGTTTTATTGTAGAGATCACTTATAGTATCTTCTTGATTTTTTATATTCTATATTTCTATCATTGACCTTCTACTTTCCCCCTATGAAAGTATGTACTCTTAAAAAAGAATTCATCAATTATAACACATAAAAACAATAATTCAATAACGTGCTTAAACCACTAGGCGGTGCACACAAGGTACACACAGCCATAATAACTTTGTATTATTAGTGTAGGACACTTATTTATGTACAACATCTGAAGATGTGTAGTTTTATTCATGTTTTCACATAATTGTACAGCATATTGCTATATTATTTCAGACTCAGTATTTACATTCTTACACTGAACAAAAATATAAATGTAACACTTTTGTTTTTGCTCCCATTTTTCATGAGATGAACTCAAAGATCTAAAACATTTTCTATATACACAAAATAACCATTTCTCATTCAAAGAAAATCAGTAATATCTTTAAAAACGTCCTTTTATATCAGCTGTGCACCGTTATGGTGTAAATATAACCTATCTACCAGTTAGATCAAATGTAAAAGTCATACGAATTAGTGTTGATACTGCAAGGAGACGTATTTTGTGAAGAGAAATTGAAGATGTTGTTTAATTGTTGATATATTTATGATCCACGTCAAGTATTCAGTTTCGGCGGCATTTCTTCCAGTTTTTCCAAAGGTCTTCTCATCAGGGCTCTATAAATAAAGAACTACGGCAGATCTGTAATATGTAATGCAGCCGAACCTGTGTATTACAATGCCGTTATGTGATGACTTTCAAAGAGAAAAGCAAGAGCACTCGGAATAAAGTATTATATTCTTTTAAAAAAAAAGTTTTTCGGATTTCATATCGCATTAACACCATATCCCTACATGCATTGCGGCTAAAACATCCAATCAGCAAGCTTAAACCATAGCTGAGGATCTTGGGTAATCAGTTCAGTGGCTGTGTATCGCAATGTTGCTCGAAATGTCCCTTATAGGCCTACGTCTGTTTCCGGTTATTTTTATTTTGAAATTCAGTTCCTGACGGACGCCAAAAAAGCCCGAGATTATGGAATTAAACGAATAAATAGAAACATGAATAATTGTGTGTTATTGTTGAGTAAATAACAATGTGTTATTTAGAAAAGAATAACAAATTAGAAGGAAAAAAAGATTTAAAAATACAGATTTCAGTATTCTGAGGCTCTGAGCCCCATTTTTTTTCCTCATAGACGACAAAAAAAGTCAGACATTATACGATTTAAAATAAAAACAATAATCGTGGCTTGATATTGAGTAAGAACATGTTTTTATGAACCCCACAGCTTCCGGTCTTCCAAGACCCGAACGGACAAAAAGACGTGCTGCAGGCACGAAACATACAAATACATTGCTTTTTCAGGACAGAGGGTGTCGTATTGTCATACTGATATTTTGTACAAACTGTAAAGTCCACTGAGACAAATGTAACATTTGTGATATTGGGCTATATAAATAAACATTGATTGATTGATTGATTGCTTTTAAAATCGTTCTGTGTGACACGAAAAAAAAAGAAGGGGAAAATCGTGTAAGTGAACACGAATCAATAGATTACATGTCGTGACTATAACACGAAATGCCGTGAGACTGGGTTGGGAGACCATGACAACAGCCTTTGTTTCTCTAGTTGTTGCTATACCACAATCTCCCTAAGAGTTCTAACAATTTAAAATTCACTTTGAGATAAGATAAGATGGTACTTTATTGATCCCAATTGCGGGATATATTTGTTTTCCTTTCATGTCTTACATCACATTTTTCTTAACAATAAATATACTGGGAATGCTTGCACATAGAGGCAAACATATGTGGGAGGCTAAGCAGGGCGAAACCTTATCCTGCTTGCAGTCAGACATCTTGTGGTAGCACTGCACTCAGACATCTTGTGTTAGCACTAGGGGTGTAACGGTTCACAGAAGTCACGGTTCAGTTCGTACCTCGGTTTGGGGGTCACGGTTCAGTACGGTTCGGTACAACAAGAAAAAGCAAAAAAAAGTCCCAAATGCATAATTCCAGGTTTGTTGTTATTTATGATTGAACAGTAGTGCAAGTTTCAGTTTTAAAATAAGGAACTCTTTTTTGAATAATGAACTGTATTAAACAGTTAAAAACAAACCATTACACTCAGATGGCCATATTATCTATAATGGTTTTAGTCAAACAAAAAGGTTTCATCAAGCTGTAAAACTAAAAAGAATGTCTTGAAAATATGACATCATAAATAATAAGAAAGTGTTTCAAGAGCGCAAAGTCGTTGAAAAACATATGCCAAAAGCTTCCGTTATTTATTTTGGTCTCTCGGCTCTCATGTCTATTGGTTTATAAAAACAGCGGGGATCAGCTGTTGAACTGCTGTTGTCTTTTGCCGGGCTCCGGTGATTGGCAAATCTGGCTGATGCCTTCTGATATGATTTAGCATGTTTGGCGTGTTTCTATTAGCATACCGCACCGCTGTAGAACAACGCCGACACACCGTCCTCGTCCGATCCACCACTCGCACACTCCATCGTTATTGTAGTCCACAGGGAACCCGAAATGTTCCCACACAGCTGATGTAAAAGAAGCAGGTGGGTTCTAGCTCCTGTGTGTTATCTGAAATCGCCATACTAACTTTTCTTCTTCTTGTATTTTGTTCGTTTTGTTGTTGTGTTTCTTCTTGTTCTTCATTTGTTGTTTAAGGGCGGCTGGCAAACAGCTTTTAGGCGCAATACCACCCCCTGGATTATATATAGTGTAGTGGATACTGCCCTGAATGACAGACTTTTTTCCCACTCATAAAAAAAAGGCGTATTCGTCGTGTGACTGCGTGTGCCGAACCGTGACGTCCGAACCATGACGGTACGGGACGAATACGGATACCGTTACACCCCTAGTTAGCACTGCGTCAGACATCTTGTGTTAGCACTGCAGTCAGACATCTTGTGCTAGCACTGCAGTCAGACATGTTGTGGTAGCACTGCAGTCAGACATCTTGTGTTAGCACTGCAGTCAGACATCTTGTGTTAGCACTGCGTCAGACATCTTGTGTTAGCACCGCAGTCAGATATCTTGTGGTAGCACTGGAGTCAGACATCTTGTGTTAGCACTGCAGTCAGATATCTTGTGGTAGCACTGCACTGCAGTCAGACATCTTGTGGTAGCACTGCAGTCAGACATATTGTGGTAGCACTGCAGTCAGACATCTTGTGTTAGCACTGCAGTCAGACATCTTGTGGTAGCACTGCAGTCAGACATCTTGTGGTAGCACTGCAGTCAGACATCTTGTGTTAGCACTGCAGTCAGACATCTTGTGTTAGCACTGCAGTCAGACATCTTGTGTTAGCACTGCAGTCAGATATCTTGTGTTAGCACTGCAGTCAGACATCTTGTGGTAGCACTGCAGTCAGACATCTTGTGGTAGCACTGCAGTCAGACATCTTGTGGTAGCACTGCAGTCAGACATCTTGTGTTAGCACTGCAGTCAGATATCTTGTGTTAGCACTGCAGTCAGACATCTTGTGGTAGCACTGAAGTCAGACATATTGTGGTAGCACTGCAGTCAGACATCTTGTGGTAGCACTGAAGTCAGACATCTTGTGGTAGCACTGCAGTCAGACATCTTGTGGTAGCACTGAAGTCAGACATCTTGTGGTAGCACTGCAGTCAGACATCTTGTGGTAGCACTGAAGTCAGACATCTTGTGGTAGCACTGCAGTCAGATATCTTGTAGCAGTCAGATATGTACACAGTTGTCCCTGCGCTCCAGCTCCTCTGACGGCCCGTCCACACAGTGGCGTGCGTTTAAGCTTGGCGGTGGGCGTGTCTGAAGCTTGGGGAGTTCTCGCGAGCAACGCGGCCAACATCCAATCCCATGAATCTCCCGCCACCGACATACAGTTTACTAAGTAAACTGGATACAAACTCCCCAAACAGGCGAAAACCTACCAGTTTCACCCACTATCTCTGCCACCTCCCTCCATGCCTGTTTCCTCCGGTTTGTATCCCGGTAGGTTAACAGGGACTGATCGTACAAGACCGGGTGATTCCCTTCCGCTATGATTAATTTCTCCTCCATTTTTTGGAATATGAGGAAATGACCTGCGGTGTGTCTCTCCCAGCATACACAAGGTTTTATTGGCTAGCACTTGTACTGGCAGATTGGCTGACGCTTCCACCGAAGCTTCAGAAGCTTCAAAAGTTGAACATTTCTCAACTTTTGCAGCGAGCCACGCCAGCAAAGCTCCACTTCGCTTCCCACAATGCAGTTTGGCGAAAAATGACGTCACCCCATTCAAGTGAATGGTGAAGCTTTCAACGCACGCCGCTGTGTGGACGGGCCGTCACAGTCAGGTTGCTTCTCTGCATCTGAAACTTCTGCTCCCAGATTTCTCCTCTGCTCTTGGATCAGTGTAATAATAATGCATAACCCTTGCAAAAGTCCTCAATCAATAGAATGCCAGTTAAAGTCTTGACTGATTAAAGGATTCCTTGCTTTTTTTTGCCACGTTTGTAAAAGAAAATGACGTGTGCAGTCAGTGTATAAATAATCATTATACATCATAACTAAAGCCTTGAAAGGTGGATGTGGGTAAATGAGCCTGCTGGAGGGGTAACCCCCCCTCCAGGGCCGCTCTGAAACTAGATTGAACACACTCTCTGAAACGACTTGTTGTAACATTTAATTTTAGATCTGTTTTGTATTTATATAAAAGAAAAAATGAGCCTGTGTGCATCAGAAATATTTGATTGAAGTTTTTTTTATGTGTGGATTACTTTATGTTTGCATTACAATGACTATATTTGTGTGCATTTAAATTGACTTTTCAGTAGAGGGTAATTTATATATTTAATTAACCAAAACATGTTTATAAATCCTTCTGTGTGCAGTTTGTAATATCAAACTGATCTGGCCCTGCAGGCTTTACATCGCCTCGCGGCAAAAGGTCCACCAGTATTTTCCTGTGTCATGTTTCACATTGTTCACACGGCCAACAATGGCAAGCAAGCATATTTCCCAATATGTGGCAAATATTCACAGCCACTAATGTCATGTCTCATTTATTTTTGCAGGGTTTAGTAGGACCACAAGGACTCAAAGGGAACCGGGTAAGATACCACATATAATATTTTGCTAGTTATAAAGATAGTTGATTATTCTTGAATAAGATTGAATCTGTGGAATACATACAAAACAGATCACTTCATTGCTTTTAATCGAATGCTTATTTACTTTATTATATTCAGCAATGAAATAAAAGTATTTATGCATCATAATAAACAGAGCAGGCTGGTATTTGCCCCCCCAACATTAAACCCTGCAGTTGTTGGAGCGGGTCAGTGGAGAGGTCAGCTGACCACAGTTGTGACTTCAAAGTGAATTACCAAGCGAAATATGAATACATTGGATATTCTCTTTGATATCCAGCATGAAAAGAAAGCCACCTGAGTCAGATCGTTTGCTTTGATTTTTCTATTGATCCTGAATCATTCATATCCAAATGTTTGTTTGCCCTTCTGAGGCAAATCTGTATGCAGTGGCTTCAATTTGAGTATCAGCACTTTTACACATTAAATGATAATGAAATTATAATTATTCTTTTTAAAAATTACTATTCTTTTATCAAGAAAACGTATATTATGATTTGGTAATAAATAATATAATAAATAATTTCTAAGTGTCCTTAGAAAAAGCTTTGTTTACCTTCCACATTTATCCTGTATATGTTGGATTTGACATTTAACAATTCCGTTTGGAGTTCAAATTGAGAGATGGATATACAGTAGGTATCATGACAGTGCGTTAAAACATTTGTAACCAATATTTGCATAACAATGGATCAGTTAGATCTTTGGATGCACCTCCCCACTATTTGTTCGTGGTAAATCTATGTTAAAAAAATTCCACCGACAAATACCAGAATTGGTCAAATGGCAGATCACACACAGACTTTCAGGACAAAGTTCCCACTTATCTATTCTGTCATGTCAAACAAAATGTCAAAGTTATGGCTTAGTGGCCTTCAGTATGATCCGTGTTGTGAAAGGTTTTACTCCACAGAGAATTACCTCCAGGTTTTTTTAATACGTTTTATTGAATTTCAGCTCATGTTGCTCTTCACCCCAGCTCCCTGAAACAAACCCTCCTGAGTGCAGCTGTATACCTTAGGAACAGAAAGATATTTATATCCATCTTCTTACTCTTAAAAATAAAGCAAATAAGCATATTTCCAACAATATTGAACAATACCTTCAATTGGCACTGAATATTAAAAGCACCCTGCAAAATAATATGTAAAAAGAGTATTTCATCTCCATGTTGCTAATGTCCACAACCCTTCCTTTGAGAGAATGTTTCTGTTTCCTTCCCATTAACCTGTGACTCTTTAATATTTACACTCCCATCTTGTGAGTCTTCACGTATCATAAGCTCTCTCAGCACATTCAACTGGCCTCTAAATACATATTTCTGATGTCCACCAGCAGTTAAACAGAGCTGAGTGTGACAGTCCAGTTGAACGTGTTGAAGAAAAGCTGTGGGATGGTGTTGGTGTTTTTACTCTTTGTCCTATCTCCCTCTGTTTCCGCAGGTCTTCCTCTCCCCTTTCCTCCCCTCCACCCTGCTCTGTGGCCCGTGGCTCTTTTTTTTGCCGGGGTTGCCCTCTCTCCCTCTCACAAACCTTGGCCTCCTGCTCTTCCTCCTCCTGCATTCTAATGTAGTCCTGGTTTAATCTTCCTCCTCTTACACCTCCTCCCTCCTCCTCCACCTCCTACCTAACAGTACCTGTTCCCTGCAAGCCTCTCTGTAGTCCCTCCCACCCCTGACCCCTTCCCCCAAATTAGCAAGCATCACAGTCTCTCCCATCACAGTTAAAATGTTTGCTACATCTTGATGCTACCAAACATGCTGCATGTTTCTGGTCATTCTTAGTATAATTAAACGTGTTAGAGTGTATGTACACTATGTAACTTTAAGTAAGATTTCCCACACACTGCTCCTTTAAATAGTGCATTCCAAACATTAAATAATACTTGATTGGCAGTATTTGTAGTTCTGACATTATTTGCAAACTCCTAAAAGGACAGGCGTCATCATTTCCCAAAGTGTCACAACAACTAAATTAAAGAAATGCAAGACTGCACACGAAAAGGTCTAGACAGTAATGTCACATTTGAAAATATATTTACTGCATTCATCACAGCTGGTAAATGTAAAATTAATTGAATTACTTCATACAGTATACTGCTGCTCGATATCTTGAGCTATAAGCATAGTGTATATATTAGTATAATCTATATTTTGTATATGCTTATAATCTGAATAGGTAAAGTAACTAATTGTGTTATATAAATGTAGTGGAGTAAAAGTACAATATTGGCTTCTAAATTGTAGACATGGGTGGAGGAATAGACAGCATTTGGCAAAAACGGTTACGCACAAATAACAACACTTTGTCTGTGCTTTAGTATAAGAGTATAACTAATTTAAGGAATATATGTCCAATTAAAAATATATACATAAAACAGTGGCATTAGGAATGATTATATTTCAGAGCTCTCAGGTGAGGCTGTATCTGCTTCATGTGTTTTCAGGACTGTATGAAAGAGAACACAAACAGCAGTGATCTCTGTCAAACCAATCTATTGTCTCTAACAAGGAGACAGTGTGGACTGTGCTGTGTAAGATGTTATGAAGGGATTCCCATACTTTAACCTCTGATTTTATTTTTAAAATAATTTTATTTTAATATAATTTGCAAAGGCGGGTCAAATTGAATTGTTCCATGTGTATTTCTGCGGCAGCAAGCTACCTAACACAGCCCGTCATTTACTTTTAGCTTTTAGTTTTGGACAATGATCCGTTTCCTGATTTTTATATTCAATGTTTTGTCCATCAGAATGTTCCCCATGATGAAAATATCAGAGTACATGTAATGACTTCTCACTTCTTCCAGAACCTACTTTAATTGAAGCTCTTATAGTCCTCCACAAAAGCTGAAACCTGCTCAGCAACTGCCCGGCTTTAATCTGTCCTCCCTAACTCCCTCTACTTACCTTCCCTTTACTCTAAATCTACATTACAAAGTCATACTGTCTTTTGAAAATTGCAGTACGCAAACTCATTATTTGATTAGGATAACTTTATTCTCATATTGTATAAATAACATGTATTTAGCTGATGAACAAATCGTTGCTTCCTGTGTGGCTTAATGAGGGAGGACTAAAGTTTGTTTTTCTTAATACGCTGTTGTTTGCAGGGAGAGAGGGGCAAGAAAGGCAACAGGGGGGCCAAAGGGGAAAAGGGAGACCAAGGAGCACCTGGATTAGATGCCCCCTGTCCGTTGGTATGTCAGTAGTGCAATCTGTAACCAAGAGGCAAAAGGAAGGAGGACTCAGAGTACAACATGGATCCTCAGGTTCAAAGTCAGCTTCCTTCTGCCTCTGGTCTTCTCTGTTCTAACCCCCCTCAGGGAGCGTTGGGTCCAAGGGTCCACTGAGCCTGGCAGAGATATGGGACTGTTGAAGTTGGTGAAACTGATGACTTTTGATCCATTAAGAAAGTTTCATTAGAGGTTATAGCCTGCAGGTGAAAATGACTTGGACTACAGCTTTGCCTGAGGAACATCTTTTTTCCAGGAATGAGACAGACAGGAACCTGGCACTGATGATGATCAACAGAGTCTAAAGTGCACTGCAACCCTGAACAGAGGATAGGTTGGAGTTCTGAACCCTGCCAAACCATGTCCTTTATATCCGGCCCTAATAAGTGCAAATGGTACTTTAAATGAACCAGATGTGACAGTGAGCCAGATTAATGCAGTACCTGAATTGGTTAACCGCTGGCTCTATGTTTTCTACCTGTTGGGTCAAACTTGCAATGCAAAGAGAAGGCAAGGCAAGTTTATTTATATAGCACCTTTCAACACAAGAGAGAAGAAAGTTACTTTGAAAGATAACCCCAACCTGACCCGTGAATCTACCCCTTTTCAGCCATGTATCTGTGACTGGGTCTGACCACAGGGTCCCTCACAGGGTCTTCTATTTATCAGACTTTACACCGGAAAGACATCCAGGTGGCACCGTGAGAACATGGCTGCTCCACCTCGACGGCTTCTTTAGAGCAATAGTCAAAACAGAGCTTGAAACAATATCTGTACCCTGGTAGAGTTCTGGTTGGCATCAGAACTCTCGATCAAACCTTATCTTTACTTTGTATTTAAAACATTATCATCACAATTTAAACCTGAAATCCTGTCAGTCCTCTCACTGAGCCCAGTTCCTGTCTGTCCCAGGTCTCCTGCATGCTCAGGAGACCTGCGTCCAGCCGGTGGACAGCAGTGGAGATCTCCTCGCTGTCGAACAGCAGAGGGCAACCCCCCCATCTACTGCATAGAAGCTGCAGAACTGGCTTTAAATGGTTGATTTCACAAACAGGGTTTCCGTGGCTTTAAAGGGGAGAAAGGTGAACCGGGCTCCCCTGGCCTGGACGGGCTGGATGCCCCGTGCCCTGTGGTATGGTGCTCTCTCCCTTCCTTTTCTAAAGCATGCCTCACCTCAACCCTGGCTTTCTGTGCATGGACGTTTCCTTCTACTACTGATTTGAGTCGACTCACCCTGTAATAAGCCCTTTTCCCACTGACCTCCTGTAGAATTATCCTGTAATAACCTTTCTCTCTAAAAGCTGAATTTAGTTTAACTCGGGCTTTCAACTCCAACTTCCAGCTGCTCATGTTAAAGGTCCCATGTCATGGCCATTTCTACTGATCATAATTCCATTGTTGAGGTCTACTAGAATATATTTACATTGTTCAATGTTCCAAACTCACATTGGTTTCTCATACAGCATCTCTGTATATGTTAAGAGATGTTAAGATTCACCGATTCGCATCGGTGCACCGGCATAAACGTTCAAGATGCGAGTGCACCGGTTGAAAGAGTGCACATCGACTACAGTTTGGGTTGAACCGGGTTGAACTCGCGATGCATCGATGGCGTAGCGTCTTTGCATCGGTAAAAAACCGATTCATTCATATAAAATCCCCTCATCTTGTCAACGCTCAGCAGAGACGATCTTTGATATTTGCTTCGCCACTACGGAGGCCGAGAGTCTCAGTTATCAACACACACACGGAAGTTGAGGAGAAAGAGAAACACAGCGCACTGAAAAATACCTACAAATCAAACGTTTGGCAACACTTCGGATTGTTCAAGAAAGACGGTGTAATAGTCCTTTATGCTATATAGTTGACCGCAGGTCATGGAGAGTAATAAGGTATCCGTAGACCTTTGTATGAGGTATCTTTATTACTTAACAGGTCTACAGCCATGATAAATAGATCCGTCATAGATGCGGGCTTGTTTACACACAGTATCACTCCGCAGCCGCACCCCATCAGTAACGTCCTGATGGTATATGTGCGCGGCACTATATACTACAGACGGTCAACTTGAAAAATCGCTCGCAAATTGTTAACGATGCCGAGCCGCTTTAAAGTACACAAGTAGTACGAGGAACTTAGCGACGCACATAAAGAGGCGACATGGGGTCTGCGGCTGAAAAGAGAAACCTGAAAGTTAGACATATGAGTTAAATCACTCAGTGAGGTGTTCTGTCAGAGAGAGTGGTGTTTAGTTTACAGCAGCCTGTGACGGCCAATAATAGTTAAAATGTCTTCCTTACTGTAAGCAGTTATGAAATACCTGTTTGTGAAAGGTTATTTTATTTATTGTTCATATAGAACCCACTGCTTTCTGCTCACTGGTGAGTCAGCCTATGAATGAGTGTTAAGCACATCAGGCTGGCAGCTGTATGGGCATTGCTCTATGGTAGCTGTTATTTGCACATTGTTAATCATGAGCAATGCAGCCTTACATTGTTTAACTGTGAGGTGTTATAGAATTGTACTCTGGAGAGCTTTTAAAGGTAAAAAAATAAACGGCATGATGGGATGTGCAGTACCAAATATATAAAACACTTTTTTGTTAATGTATGATTTGCTGCATATAAGGAATAAAACAAAAATCCTCTGTCATACCATATTGAAGTATTATTTTTGCATCGTGTTGAATCGTATCGCACCGAATCGCATAATGTTGAATCAAATCGTATCGAACTGTATCGCAACAGGGGTGAATCGTATCGTATCGCATCGCCTGGTGTTTCAAATGTATCGTTAATGTATCGTATCGTGGCAACGTATCGAGATGCGCATCGCATCGGCCTCAGTGATGGAGATGCACATCCCTACTGTATAGTAGGTGTATTCACTGTCTGTCCTACACGGCTTGTTGGAGCTCCTGCCCCCCCCCCCCCCTCCCTATGAGTCCATTGTGCTCTGATTGGTCAGCTCGCCCAAGCTGTTCTGATGAGTCCGCCACCGTTACGGTACGTCCACACAGCAGCGTTAAAAAAATCTTGGAGGTGGGCGTATCTGAAGATTTTTTGCGAACAACGCGACCAACAACCAATCACATGAATCTCCCGCCCCCGACATACAAAGCAATAGCAATGTTAAAAATAAGTAAACTGGATATAAAATCCCCAAACAGGCAAAAACCTACCAGTTTCACCCACTGTCTCTGCCACCTCCCTCCATGCCTGATTCCTCCGGTTTGTATCCCGGTAAGTAAATAGCGACTGGTCATAAAGAACCGGGTGATTTGCTACCGCAATAACTAATTTCTCCTCCATTTTGTTAGGAATATAGAAAATGAACCGCGGTATGTCCCAGTCCGGTATGGACCCATCAGGCTAAACTAACCTGTTGCTGCTCCGTCCACACTCACAACAACGTCATACAGACATAAATAAAGCAGCGACTGTATTCGCCATGACATAGACAGTCTGTGTTTTGTACATGTTTAACTTGTGTCCAGTTTCTGAACAGATATGAGGAGCTGTGAGCTCTGAGTGTGTGCTAACAGCTAACGGCTGATGTGTTGGGACATATTTCGCTGTCGGGTGTTGACCAATCACGAAGCGTCATTTCTTGACTGGCAGCAAAAACAACCAATCACAGCTGTGCTTCTCTGGCTGGCTCTGTCCAATCACAAACAAGAAGTGTTCTCCCTAAAGGAATACCCTTTCCGTCCAATGTGAAATGCTGTGGTGTTTTGTGAAATGCTGTGGCGTTTTCTGAAATGCTGTGGCGTTTTCTGAAATGCTGTGGCGTTTTGTGAAATGCTGTGGTGTTTTCTGAAATGCTGTGGTGTTTTGTGAAATGCTGTGGCGTTTTCTGAAATGCTGTGGTGTTTTCTGAAATGCTGTGGCGTTTTCTGAAATGCTGTAGCGTTTAGTGAAATGCTGTGGTGTTTTCTGAAATGCTGTGGTGTTTTGTGAAATGCTGTGGTGTTTTCTGAAATGCTGTGGTGTTTTCTGAAATGCTGTGGCGTTTTCTGAAATGCTGTGGTGTTTTCTGAAATGCTGTGGTGTTTTCTGAAATGCTGTGGCGTTTTCTGAAATGCTGTGGTGTTTTCTGAAATGCTGTGGTGTTTTCTGAAATGCTGTTGTGTTTTCTGAAATACTGTGGTGTTTTCTGAAATGCTGTGGTGTTTTCTGAAATGCTGTTGTGTTTTCTGAAATACTGTGGTGTTTTCTGAAATGCTGTGGTGTTTTCTGAAATGCTGTGGTGTTTTCTGAAATGCTGTGGCGTTTTCTGAAATGCTGTGGCGTTTTCTGAAAGCTGTTGTGTTTTCTGAAATGCTGTGGTGTTTTCTGAAATGTTGTGGTGTTTTCTGAAATACTGTGGTGTTTTCTGAAATACTGTGGTGTTTTGTGAAATGCTGTGGCGTTTTCTGAAATGCTGTTGTGTTTAGTGAAATGCTGTGGTGTTTTCTGAAATGCTGTGGTGTTTTCTGAAATGCTGTGGTGTTTTCTGAAATGCTGTGGCGTTTTCTGAAATGCTGTGGTGTTTTCTGAAATGCTGTGGTGTTTTGTGAAATGCTGTGGTGTTTTCTGAAATGCTGTGGTGTTTTCTGAAATGCTGTGGTGTTTTCTGAAATGCTGTGGCGTTTTCTGAAATGCTGTTGTGTTTTCTGAAATGCTGTAGTGTTTTGTGAAATGCTGTGGTGTCTTGCACTTCAGGGCCACCGTACATGAGCGAGGCAGAAAATAATAGTTTTAACATGCCAAAAAGCTGCTGTGTCGTTTATTGCACCTCAAACATTAAAACAAATCCAGAGTTACGTGTTTCTGTACTTCCTCTAAAAGGAAAGGACAGTAACAGAAGATCTCTGTGGCTTCAGGCTTGATCGCCGTTCAAATGACAGCGTTGGTTTCCCCAAAAGTGGGCGGGGCTGTAAAGTGACGTAGATTTTACTCTCATCTATTATTCAAAACCATTCT